ACTTGATGCTTTTGAATAAAACAATCCCATATCAGTTGTGCCACAAAAATATCGCAATATGTGTTTGATTCCATTTCAATGTCTGCGAGTTGGTGCAGAACTGTACTGTGCTAATAAATTGACTGGAAAAATTATATCAGGTCTTGTGTAATTTGCAAGATATAAAAGAGCACCAATCGCACTAAGATAGGGCACTTCAGGACCAAGAAGTTCTTCATCATCCTCTCGAGGACGAAAAAGATCTTTCTTGATGTCAAGTGATCGGACAACCAGCCACTTATTTAAAGAAATAATTTGAAATGAAAGATCTCAAAAAAACAAAATTCTGCCTTGGGCTGCAGGTTGAACATTTTTCGAGCGGTATTCTCATTCATGTTTATCCATATGAAAACGTCTCAGAATCTTTTCTATATATGTTGCTTGATGAATGAGAATACCGCTCGAAAAATGTTCAACCTGCAGCCCAAGGCAGAATTTTGTTTTTTTGAGATCTTTCATTTCGAATTATTTCTTTAAATAAGTGGCCGTCTTTTCGATCTTGTCTAATGTTCCCACAAGATTCAGATCATCAACATATACTGCAACAATAACAAAACCAAATTCTGATTTGTTAATGAAAATGCATGGATAAATATGATTGTTCACACGCCCTTCTTTGAGTAAGTAATCGTTAAAGCGATTGTACCACATTCGTCTAGATTGCTTTAATCCATATAACGATCACTGTAATTTTATCGAGTACATATTACAAGGTTTTGTTTCAGGTATTTTAAATCCTTCTGGGATTTTCATATAAATATCACTATCTAATGATCCATATAAATATGCTGTAACCACGTCCATTAAATACATATGCAATCTTTCTGTGACTGCCAAATGTAGTATGAATCTAAATGTGGGTGCATCTGTCACAGGGGAATATGTTTCCTCATAATCAATACCAGGTCTTTGTGAGAAACCTTAAGCTATCAGTCAAGCTTTGTATCTCACGATTTCATTTTTCTCATTACACTTTCGTACAAACACCCATTTGTTCCCAATAGGATTAACACCCTCAGGTGTCTGGACTACTGGTCCAAATATTTCACGTTTTGCTAATGAATTTAGCTCTGTTTGTATTACTTCTTTCCATTTTGGTCAATCATTTCTTCGTCGACATTCTTCGACGTTTTGAGGTTCCGGATCCTTATTATCAATATCAAGGGCAACAACATAAGAAAATATGTTGTCGATAACAATTTCATTTCTATTCCATCTCGTTTCATAATTTAGTGAGATCTCATTATTTTCAGGTACATTTATCTCATCAAGAGCGTGTGCCTCATCAAGGGCCATATCATTATCTGTTACTTTTACCTCATCAATTTCAACATTTTTAGGTACCTGAGACTCATCAAGAGCCTCTACCTTATCAAAGACTATTATCCCAGATTGATCAATAATATCCGTTGCTCATTTTGTGGCCTATTCAGGAGTGCCAACTTTTCCTTGTGATTTCCTCTTACGAGGAACAACATCTTTTGTACCAATTGGTCTACCACGTTTTAGGCGTGTTTTAGATGCATTTGCTGCATTACTGATAGAAGATCCCTCATGGACAGCAATTCATGCTGGAATATTTGCAGCTCATATATGTGATTTTATTACTTTCTTTGTATCGGTAAATGCATCAAGTAATTGGTTTGCAACATTTTACAAGTGAATGATCCTCTGAACTTCTCGTTCACATTGATTTGTGCGAGGATCAAAATAAGACAATTCCAGGGCATTCCAAGTAATATCATGTTGCTGCTGTGCCTTTTCTCTCCCTAATGGTGGGAAAACAGCCTCATCAAAATGACAGTCAGCAAATCGTGCTTTAAAGACATCACTTGTCAGGGGTTCAAGATATCTAATAATAGATGGAGAATCAAAACCAACATAAATTCCAAGTCTACGTTGAGGACCCATTTTAGTGCGTTGGGGTGGTGCAATTGGAACAAATACAGCACAACCAAAAACTAGTATGTGAGAAATATATGGTTGTTGACCAAAAATAAATTGCAATGGTGAGTACTTATGATAAGTAATTGGTCGTATACGAACTAATAATGCAGCATGTAATATGGCATGTTCCCAGGTAGAAACAGGTAATTTTATTCGCATAAGTAAAGGACGACCAATTAACTGAAGTCTTTTAATAAAAGATTCGGCCATACCATTTTGAGTATGAGTGTGTGCAATATGATATTCAACATTAATTCCAACTGACATGCAGTAATCATCAAAAGTTTGAGAAGAAAATTCAGCGGCATTATCAAACGTATTATCTTAATTAGGTAATCAGGAAAATGTGCCTGTAATTTAATGATTTGAGCAAAAAGTCTAGCAAATGCAACATTACGAGTAGAAAGCAGACAAACATGTGACCATTGTGTTGAGACATCAATTAATACCATAAAATAGCGAAATGGTCCACAAGATGGATGAATTGGCCCACATATATCCCCGTGAATTCGTTGTTAAAATGGGGGAGACTCAACACTGACTTTTGAAAGGGATGGTTTGATAATCAACTTACCTTGTGCGTTAATCTTTTAGTGGGTGTCCATGTGAATATCAATAATTTGATGCATCATTGTACTCCCCAGGTGACCAAGTCGATCATGCCAAAATATAAAAAGTTTTGGGTCACAAGATTTTTTATGTATCACAACATTTGACTCAATTGTCCTAATGGTTGTAAAGTATAACTAAGAAGATAAAATATGGAGTTTTTCTAATATTTGTTTTTTGCATGAGGTAATGGAAGTAATCCAGAGATATTTCACATTTCTTTCATTTGCGGTCTCAATATGATACCCATTACGACGCAAGTCTTTAAAACTCAACAAATTTCTCCGAGATCTTGTAGAATATAGGGCATCATTGATTTGCAATCTTGTTCTATGTGGTAAAATGATGTTGGCTCATCCGGAGCCTTCAATTAAGTTGGTGGGACCTGATATTGTACTGACATTAGCGTCTGTCAGAGTTAGGTGAGAAAAATATTTTTGATCTCGAAGGGTTGTATGGGTTGTTCCACTATCTATAAGACATATGTCTTTACCATTTATTTTGAAACTAGTCAGATCCATTCATATTCATGCAAATTTCTTTATCAGAAAAGAAACATTTATAACAAAAGAAACTTTAATACAAACTAGAAGATAAAAACTTTAATACAAGGAAAACAAAAACATAGTAGACAGAACATGAAAATAAAATGGGATTAGTTGATGTGGACATTTCCATCACCAATCAGGAAGTTTATCTTTCCATCACGGTCCTCAAAAAAATCTGATACATCCAGATTTGTGATGTCAACTGGCTCATCATGATTAATAAAATTTATTTCCAGATTTGTGATGTCAACTGGCTCATCATGATCAATAAAATTCATTTTCTTTTGTTTCCCCTTTTTCTTTCATTAAGGCTTGGTAAAGTTCAGCCAGATGCTTAGGTGTACGACAAATGTTTTGCCAATACCCTATCATGCCACACCGATAACAAGTATTCTTATGTGCCTTGGGAGGTTGAGCCATATCATTCCCTTTTATTTGTTTCATTTTATTATAATCTCTCTTTTAAGGATATGGTGTGGATCTCTAATTGCGAAAATGTGAGGATTGATATCCTTCACAGTAATAAGAATGATTTCTACCACGACCATATTCATTATTGTGGTAGTTATTTTTACTACGACCATATTCATTATTATAACCATTTTTACCACCACGACCACGTCCACGTCCACGTCCACGTCCATGACCACGGGATGAAGCAGCATATGTTTCATGGATCAGTGTTGATCCAGTTGGACGAGACTGGTGGTTTCTTAACAAAAGTTCATTATTTTGTTCTGCCACAAGTAAACATGATATCAGAATATTTTTTAAATCTACGCTCTCGATATTGTTATTGTAAGAGCACATTCGATGCGTGAAATATGGTGAATATTTTTTCCAGCAAAAGTTCATCAATAATGGCATAATCACATAATTTTAATGTAGAGCTGATTTTAAACAGAGTTATATTCAGCCACAGTTTTAAAATCTTGCAACCGCAGTTGTTGCCAATCAGCCCGAGCCTTTAGAAGGATAATTTTTTTTTTGATGATCATATCTTTCTTTCAAATTATTTCATAAACACAGTGGATTTCTTTCAGTGAGGTATTCAATTTTAGCTCCTTATTAATATGGCGCCGAAGGAAAATCATGGCCTTCGCTTTATCTTGTAATGATACATCATTCTCTTCTTTAATTGTGTTTCCAAGGCCCATGTCATCTAAATGGATCTGAGCATTCAGAATCCAAGATAAATAATTTTTACCAGAAATATTCAAGGCCACGAATTCCAGCTTTGTCAAGTTTGACATTTTCAGAATAACTAGATGTAACAATATAAAAATATAATTTAGAATAATATATAAATAAATAAAATGGCATAATATGAATTATTTAAATAACAAAGGTAGTAAAACCAGGCATAGTGAATAAATTATTAAACAATAAAGGTGGTAAAACCGACCATAAATTATTAAATAATAAAGGTAGTAGAACCGACCGTAATGTGAGCACATATATCATTTAAGTGAATAAATTTATTTTATGAACAATAATTCATAATTAAAATTTTCTTACCCTTTTGAGTCAGAAATACCATTTTCTTCGATAAAGTAAACCAACCCAACAATCTATCAAAACTAATATCACAAAATAGATATATAGTTGAGATAGAAAGAGGGAGAGAAAGCTTCTTCTTCAAATCTCAGATAGATAGAGTTCATGCTAATAACGTATAATAAATATGTATGTGTGTGTATATATAGAGAGAGAATAATATTATTATGTGAGAATGAAAAGCAAAACTTTCGCACAGGGAGAGAGATAGAATGAAAAAAGAGAAAATGGAAAGCTTTTTTATTCAAGTGTGTTTTTCCCAAGCAATATATACACATGGTCTATTTATAGGCTCAAAATTGTAGCTTTCCAAACAAGCCATAATAAGGCTTTCATTGTAAGCAAGAATTGAGCTTTCTCCTTGTGCCAAGTATGTCACCGTGGATGACTTAAATATTAAGAATCCCACAAAACATATACATATACATATATATATATATACATATACATATATATATAACACTATATAGTTTTTGGAGAACAATAAAAAGGTGTTGTGGGAGTTTTCGGAAATAAGAAGACGCACTCTTTGAAAACACGGAGAACTCTTTTCACTTAAAAAGAACGGGAGTAGGATATCTCGTTTATAACATTACCCACATCTCCTCAGCTGCACCAAGTGTTCTCTCTCTTCAAGGCTTGAAGTTCTAACAGATTTCTTTGCAAAGTCTCTCTTCAAGCTATCTCTCTCTCAGTTTCTTGCGTTTTTCTTAGGCAGAAAGGTCGATCTGCGTTTCTCTTCCTACCATCATCTCTGTGTGCGGGTAAAATTCTCTGTCTTTCTATTTTTCTCTCTCTTAGATTTATGGGTTTTCGATTTATGGTTGTTCACACTCTGATTTGGGTTGAGAATTGATTATTGGATGGATTTGGTTAGTTTTATTTGATTTGTTTGGGTGAATTTGGTTCTTTGGATGGATTTGGTTGGTTGGTTGGTTTGAAATTGTTTGATTTGTGAGTTTTATGTGGTTTTTAACACTTATAGATATGGGTTTGATTTAGTTGGTTGTATTTTTTCTTTCCGTATTTCAGTTGTGTTTGATTTTTTTTTTTTTTTTTTTCTCTCTCCATTTTAAAAATTAAAAATTTACAAGTGAGAAAAATTAAGGAGTTAGGGCTCCCATTTTTCTTTATATGTCATTCCATTTCCATCTATTGGAGTTAAGGTTCGAGTCCTCTGACTCATTTTGGTTAAAATGACATGAAATTTTATGAATTGAACTCACTTTCATTCCTGTGGCGTTCTCCTTTACCTGGTTATAATTGTATTTGTAATGTCAATTATAAGTCTATAACATATCTGTCAAAGAATTTGATGAGTTGGTCTGTTACTCTTGATGTTGAAATGTAATTCTATAGTACGTGTCTTCACTATTTGAGGCCAATGACTTGTAAATGATACAAGCAATTGAAATGTTGAAATGTCGTAGAACTGTGCTTTGATCTTTAATAGTTGGATTGTGTCATAGCCATTTCCAGATAATTGTCTCTTCAAAAGCTTTTATAGTATATTCAGATGGACAATACAAATTCCTGTCCCATTTGTATTCTTGATATATTCAAGTTTTGCTAATTCTTTCTAAATATTCAATAACATGTATTTACTATTCTCTTTTATGATGATTGGCACTATATAGCCTTATAAATCATATAGATTTATGCATGTTCTATTGAGTTCTAATTCCGGGAAGGAAACAATCTTTTCATTTTCTAGTTTGCTAATAAAAATAAGTTTTTATTTATTTATTTGTAAGGCCTATAATGTGAGGATATGATAGGAAATTGCTTAGTGTTGAAGTTCTAATAACAATTGTCACTTTTTTCTACTCTATAGTTCATTCCTATCAAATTTATAATTCCTTGATTTACTCTTTCTTATATCGGATACTGAAAATATCGAGGGAGAAATGTGTGGATGAATAATAATTCCACATTTTTTAGGAACATGGAGCAAAGCAGCAGACCTTCCCTAGAGGATTACTTGAAAGGAAGGAGTAGTTCATAAAGCTTACATTAGCTTCTCTTGTATTCTATTTAAACACCTTTTATTTGTTTACAAGTAATTTCTGCTACAAGCCAAGGCTAACAGAGTGTGTAGTTCGTCCTTGTACAGGGAAAGGAAAAAAAAAAATTGCACCCCCTCTGATGAGGTAGTTTATGTTTGTAGGCACCGAATTCATGTAAAGTTATTAATGGAAGAAGCCCAAGATAGAAAGGGTTCAAAGTTTGCAACACAAAATATGTGTCCTGATTAAAGTGTTTTTTTTTAAGTAATGAAATAGTCACATAAGATTTAAATATATAAGCATACAAACCAGTGCAGGATTCAATGGTATGAAATGTACTCGTTTTCCCATTTTAAAGCTTATGCCTTGTTATAAGTTGGTTAGACAACGACTCATAATAACTGCTTGTTGCACGATTCATAATTTCATTCGTCAAAATATATTAGATGATCGTTTTTTTATGGAGTATTGGGAAGAAGATGTTAATGTTGCTAATGGGGGGAATGGTAACAGTAGCAATGTTGGTGTACTGAATGCACTTAATTTATCTGACGATGGTGCAGCACAAATGGGAATCCTTAGAACTCATCTGAAGAATGAAATGTGGGCATCATTCAGAGGCAATGCTAGATGAAGTTACTTTTACAATTCTCCAATGTTTTACTTTGATTAGCTATTTGTGTAATTTTATAATATTTTGTTTTGGTTATGTATGACTAAAATTAATGTTTGTACAACTAAAAGTGCATATGACACTTGAAGTAATTCCTGTAACTCTTTTATTGTATATAAATTTAGTGAAATTTTAATTAAACTTGATATATTGTATTTGTCCAACTTTTATTAAGTTATGAATACTAGCTAAAATAAATTCACTTCCAACACTTATTTAAACATCTATATATATATATATATATATATATATATTTACATTAATAGTTAATATCATAAATTAAAGAAATAAAAGAATGAGATACAATAATATTTTTATTTATTTTTTTAGTTTTGTTTTCCTGTAAATTCTCTTAACCAAGTAGGTTTGAAATCTAAAAAAACTGAAAACTGTTCTCTGTTTTGATTCTCTGAAAACTGTTATCAAGAACAGTTTTCAGAAATGCCATCCAAGTAAGGCCTAAAATTTCACCCTTATTTGGATGCTGTCGAGATAATTGTTACCAATCCCTTATCATTGCAACACTACTGTCATTTTGATTGGAGTGACAATGCAGTTTCCAAATGTGTTTTTGCAACCATTTTCCTTTTTTTTCATTTTGGTTGCAGAAAACTAAAAACAGAATAGCTTGGGCCTAAGTATTCAACTACCTTCCTTCAAAGAGGAGGATATGGCTCGAGCCTGGGCAATGTTTGTAACTTAGTTGATAAAAAATGTACTAACTAATAATAAAAATAATTATTCAGTTACAATTCTAGTCAAGTCTAAAATTTCAATGTAACATACTCATATATGACATTACCGAGAGATCCACCACCCCTGAAAAACTTTCTTATGACAAGAATACTAGAGACTATTGTGGATGTGACTTGTAGTTACTATCAATACTTTGATTTAAGGGCCCTGGTGGTGCCACCTTACCCAATACTCCATGGTTACCATAAATCATGGAGCAAGAGCTTCAAAAAGAAAAAAAAAAAAAAGGCTTTTGACATTTATAATAGGAATCAAATTCTTTTTGGTGAATATTTATCCACAATATAATACTTGCGCAGTAACATTAAATCGAGAATACAATCACAATATAAAAGTATTGAATTATCAATTTAATGGCTTTACAGTGTTTCAGCTATATTGCATTTTTGATAAATAAAAAAAAAAAAAAAAAAAAAATGTGTTGCATCGTTATTTTATGTGTATTGCATTTTTGATAGTGTATTTTATTATAGTTTTAAAGTGCTCTGATAATAATTCCCAAAGTGTAAATGAGATAATACCAATATATATAATACACATTTTACATATTTTGATTTTTCATCATATGGTTGGAGTCAAACATTTTCATCATATGATTGGTCATTTTCCATCATCTGTATTTTCAATTTTAAAACCCTATACTACCTTCCTATATTTTCTAAAAAATGAAATAAAAATTCTATTCCATTTCATATTTCATATACGTAAATGCATCCACAAGCTTGAATCATTTTGAACTTTTTTGCAGTCACCAACTCACATCCCTCAATTGGTCGCAACACATGCAATCTTTTCTTCATTTGTCTTCTTCCTTGATTCGCTCCCCCCATTTTGTTTTGCCCACTTCCCATCTCTCTCACACACACACCACACACAACACACAACACACACTAACCAACACCACCCTTCGTGCTAACTCAATGCCCAGTGGCATCCCCCGTAATTTTCCCCAAAATTTGGGGTCATTTCCCTACCCTCCTCGTCCCCTCCTGGTATCTTCCACGCCCCCTTTTACCTCTAAAACACATCGAACCACCAATTATTAATCACACCCCACCTTTTGCTCTCATCAATTTCACCTTCAATTTCCTTCTCTCTGTATATTATTACTCTTCTCTCTCTACATATATATACACACAAACATATTATTATATATAAATATATATACATATATATATATATATAGGTATTAAATGTTCCTTTCGAATTTTAGCAGTTTTTAAGGGAGTTCTTCAATTTTGCTTCTTAGGATCTTTTGTTTACATTTTTGGATTCTGGGTTTTTTCGAGATACAGTTTGGGCTCTTGGGTTTTCTTTTTATTTTTGAAATTAATTTTTCATGCGATTTGAATTGTTTTCAAGGGATTTTCTTTGAATTTTAAATACTAGGGCTTTATATATACACACACATAAGGTTGGTTGGTTTTGTTGTACAATTAGAGTGGTCTCTATTGGACCTGTAATGCTTGAGAAATGCCAGAGACGAACCACCAAGGGTCGATGTATGTAACGGAGACGATGAACATGCAGCGGCAACAGCGGAGCCAGATCGAAGACGAAGAAGACGAGGAAGTGGCTGCTGGAGAGTCTATAGACAACCCTCAGATCAGATACGAAGATCACGCGCTTCAGGACGGTGGTGGTGGTGTTGCCGGAGGGAGCGTGGAGGTGATGAACGGTGTCGAAGGGGTTCATCCCCACAATCTGTACGTTCCGGGTTCTGAAATTACTCCGTCCGCAGGTGGGGGTGGAGTGGACCAGTTGACACTGTCGTTTCAGGGTGAAGTTTATGTCTTTGATGCTGTTTCGCCTGAAAAGGTTGGTCTTTACTTCTTGTTATTGGTAAATTTTTTAGCTTTGAACTGAATCTTGTGTGCCTAATTCTGTTTTGCCTGAAAAAATTGGTTTTAGAACTGATGTTTGGTTAATTTTGTGAATGGTGCATTGATTTCTGAATAGTTCTCATCATCTCTAATGTCTGCATTTCAGCCAATTTTGTGAATAATCTAGTGTTTTGAAGTTTATTCATTTGGATTCTATTTTACCATTGTTTTAGCTAAATTTGTTACTATTTTGCTGTGTTTTGGTTTGAATGTGCGTCTGGGAGGGTCATTTCTGGGTTTTGTTTATGACTTAGAAGGGGATTATGTGAATTTTAGTTAAATTTTATTGCAAGTGCTTTTTTCTATTTTATGCATTTATATGGATCAAAGTAGGTGATCTTGGGTTTCTGTTTCTGCAAAATAGGTTTCATTTGTTTTTGGGTCAATTGCATGAATTATAAGTTATGTTTTATGAGTTGACGTAGGTAATTTAGTTCCTTTTTTAAATTTGTTAGATAGGATTATGTAAGTAATACAAGATTTCTTCTTGATTGATTTTCACAGGTGCAGGCAGTGTTGTTGCTCTTGGGTGGATATGAAGTACCAACTGGCATTCCTACAGCTACAATGACACCCCAAAACCAAAGGGTACTTATATAATGATGCAAGTTTCTTGTTATGGTTGGCTTGCATTTGTTTGCACTGTTTTATATGCAATTTTCGTAGGGTCTGGGTGACTTTCCTGGAAGATCGAGTCAACCACAAAGGGCTGCTTCCTTGAATCGGTTCAGGGAGAAGAGAAAAGAACGATGTTTTGATAAGAAAATTCGTTACAATGTGCGAAAAGAAGTTGCACTCAGGTATTCTACAGAATGATTTGCAATTGTTTTTACTTTTGCAACCTTTTTTTGTTGTTTTACTTTTTTCATTCCTCTTTATTTTTTCTTTCCGACAAACTATGTATCGAGTGGGATTAACATGGTAATAGAAAACAGACTCTGGTGTTTTGATGGAGGACAAAAGTAAGAAAATGATTTGATAAAGTTTTGTTGGACAACTTGCATTCATTGGGTTTAGGATTGTGCTACTTGGTAAACTGGTCAAGTTCTTTGCTTCCATTGTTTATTTAGATGGAGAATAAAGGTAAGAAAATGAGTTGATTGATGCTGTTGGATTAGTTTTGTAATTTGTAGCACAAACAAGTTCTTAACAAGAACCTGGCTATATAAAAAATGTGCAAGAAACACCCCTACTATCTATTATGTGCATATAAATCCCCTAATTTTCAAAATTTGGAGCAAATTGCCCCCTCATTGTCAATTTTGACCAATTTTTTTATTATAAAAAACCCAAAATGCCCTTAGAATTGAACTTTTTTTCACACCCCTTTAATTCTTGCTATGAAAGTACAAAATTGGCCCTCACTCTCTCTCTCTCTCTAATACCCCAAATAGGCTATAGTTGCTTCCTGTTTGCTTTCTCATTCTTATGTTTGCAATGCCACAGTTCAAGATCAGTTTTCGAATGTATCGATGGTGAATATTGTAGTTGGAGGCAATCATTGTCTAGGTTGCTTACATACTAACATATCCTTATTATTACCCAATCCCTTCAGTTGTAAGGAAGTGGAGAAACTTCAGAGGGATTTTTTATGGGATGTTTTGAGATGAATTCAAATATTATTTGGTGGATTGCAATCGGGTGATGATTCCATATTTCATACCCAATAACAAAACCCCCAGAACCCAGAAAATGTGTAGAATTCACGCAGCAAAATAATAGGCACCAAAATCAAAATTGATGATGGAAAGTGGGATTGAATAAAAAGAACATTGGGTGGGAGGGATTTTGTGTGCACCAATGATTCATAGATCATGATCCATGACAAAGTAGAAGGAATCTTTGCGCTTGTCTTCCAATCTCACGTGTTCTCACTTGGAAAAGTAATCGGCAAAAATCTGAGACAATAGCTAAAAACTTTTACCGCTGATTCTCCTTCAAACACTATCCAATTGTCTGCCAAGCCCAATCTCTAATCATCTAAAGAAACAATTACACAAATTAAGATAATAATGGTAACGTTTATGATATATACATATACATATACATACATATGTATACACCTTGTGGCGGATGGTGAAGAGAGATGTGCCGGAAGCATCCATAGGAGAGATCTCAACTTTATTGGCGGCGTAGTAATTGTCGAGTAGCGATTTCTTGTTTTGAAGGGTAGAGAGAGATCTTAGCTTTGGAGAGTAGCGATTTCTTCCACATAGTTACAACCAACTCCAGTGATTCACGTAGGGAAGAGAAAAGAGACAGGTTACATGTTTGGATACCATAATGGTATTTTTGGACATTTTGCATTTTTTTTCTTTTCTTTTTTTATTTATTATACCAAAAGGGTATTTTTGTCATTTCATTGTTCAATTATTGCCTAATTGGATAATTGTCCTTATTTGTTCAGTTTAGGAAATGTAGGGGTGATTTCTGAACATCAGGGTTATTTTTTTTTGCACATTGGGTTTTTTGCTCTTTACCCTCTTAAGAATTACTTTCCTGGATGCAGGACACATGCTTAATGTATCCATAATTTTTATTTTATTTTATTTTTATTTTTTTATTAGTTGCTTAATGCATTCATAATTAACTCTAGGAAAAGGAAAATAAAAGAAAAGGAAAGAGCGATGTTGTTAATGGTTGATATAGTTTGCAGTAAAAATTGAAAAGCAAAGATTTAGTTGGCTAAACTTTTTTAGAAGGTAGTGCATGAATATGTGTGTGTGCGTTTGAACTGTAAATTGTATACAGAAAAATGTGAGAGGAGGCACAATCACAAATTAGGCTCTTTATTTATAAATCAAATTCTCTTAAAAAGATCTGAAAGAGTTGTAAATAATGTTGAAATTTTGTTGCATCCAAATGAAAAGCATTCAGCATGCTTAAGTTGTAATCATGCATCTCCACATCCTCAAAAGCTCTTTTATCTAGCTTTCACCACAGACTCCACATAACACAAAAAGTTAAGCCTGATGGATTTTTTTTCCTAGAATAACCTTTCGTCCAAAAACTATTTAGCTACTCCATGGATCAAGGCATTACTCAATGCTCACCAAACAAACAGAAAAACATGCCCAACAGATCCCTAGCTACCTAAAATGGAAGTATAAGGCGATTGGCATTCTCTACGACTATTCTACAGTTATAGCACTAACTGGGGTCCTGCACATGAAGTCAAAGATTGCCTCCAATGTAGTTAATCAAAGAAAGGAAGACACTTTGGAGGCTACTTTGACCTTCCAAACAGGGGTGCAACTCAGGTTGGTTAGTGGTTGAGAGCTTATACCTTACTCAATTCAAGGTATAAAACCCCCTCCATCCTATGCGCAATCCAACCCGACTTTCAATCCAAGTTCTCAACTGGAGCTTAATCCACACACAAATTTTTGTAGCTTGAGTTTGGATTGGAAAAGGCAAATTGGAATCTGGGTTTGTCTTGCATTAGGTTAAGTTTAATTGACCAAATTTCATAAAACTATAAAAATTAAAGGCTCCATCACAATATATATATATATATATATATATATATATATATAAATAAAAAGATTGAAATATAAAATAATTAATTATACATTTCATTCGACTAGCAAAAAAAGGAAGCAAACTCTTCCTCACAGTTTAATTGTACAATGTAGTAATATATATGCATATACATTAAGCTAAGGTTGCCCAACTCAAGTTGAGTTTGGGTTGGCTGACATCTCTAACCCAAATTAAATTCAGATTGATTTTTAAACCTAGGCTCCCAACTGAATTTTAGAAAATATTATCCAAGCCTGTAAAAGAATTGGGTTTGCCTACCCAAATTGCACTCTTACTTCCAAATACCTTTTTTAGAAAAGACAAGCCTCTCTTCCAGATATAAATAATATTATTTTTTACATGATATTTATTAAGCTCCATTGATATAATCCATAAGTCTCTTCAGCTATAGCAAATTTAAAGATGTCAGAATTGGTTCAATTTCAAGGCAAATCCGACTCTAAAATCCAATTTATATTGAGACTTATATTATATTGTTTTAAAAAGTTTCTTTCTTTTATTTTTTCTTTAACTTTAGGAGTAGGTGGTACATTTGAAAAATATTTGTAATCTCTTAACATGAACTTTACTGGTTGTCTGTGAGTTTTATTTTGCATATGCTTCTTCTTGTTTTGTCAATTCGTTTGGACTTTAATAGTTACAATATTGGTTTTATTACATAAAGTTTTAAAGCTATCTACTTCCTATAGTTGGAGTCAAATTATGTTAAAATTACTAGTAGTATATATAGATGCATAAATCTTCCAATTGAAAAAGGAAAAAAAGAAAAAGGAAAAGAAAGGATCAGTTTTGGTAATTCTCCAATACTTGTGAAATTCTAGAAGGGAAATTTGATTTAATTTAAACCCCAAGGATGATGTCTAAGAAATTCTAGTAATTATTCTAAGAGAATTCTTAAGGGCGAGCCTTGGCGTAACGATAAGGTTGCTCCGTTATGACTAGGAGGTCATGTGTTTGAATTAAGAAATAGCATCTCTGTGTGTGGAGGTAAGGCTGCATATATTTCTCTCCCCAGACCTCGCAATGGTGGGAGCCTCGGGCACTATGTTAGCCTAATTCTAAGAGAATTATTCTTCTTCTTTGAAAGCAGACATTCGTTTTCCAACAAGAAGCAATCCTTAATTTTGTTCCTTTTTATACCTAAAGCTTACTTCCATAATCGTGATCTTTTACTGTCATAAATCCTTTCCCTTGTCACATGATACATGAAAAAGTTGCTGGCTATAGTTAAATACAGATACTTGTACATACATATTGAGGACTACATATTTCTACGTGTAGAATTGTATTTATCTTTGTGTTTTTTCTATATCAATATACATATATTTTGCAGTATTGCTATATCTTTGCTGTCTCCTTGAACAAGATGGTACTTGAACTCCTCCCCTATACTACCCCAAAGGAAATTACGCTGAAGCTCTTTATCCTTTTGGCAAACGAAGAGGGAATCTGAAAAAGAGAGAAGAAATAGGTGGGAAGACTCGACAACGTGCTCTTCATTAAGGTGACCCTTCTGCCCTTGGACCGATACTGCTTCTTCCACCCTGCAAGCCTCCTCTCAAATCTCTCCACAACAGGGTGGCAAGCCCAGATACGCAATAGATGCCCTGCTGCAAACCAATGTGGTTCTGAACCCATCCACCAAGGTATCACTGTCCACTGGGTTTCCAAAATCCCCTTGTTGGTACAACCCTTTCAAAGCTTTATGTAAGCGAAGCTCCCGATGCAAAATTGCGGCAGATTCGTCACTGAGTCTAAACTGAAGATCACGGCCTGCACAAATTTTAACCTCTTCATCTTGGCCTCTACTGATCCGCGGTCCATCAACTCACAGAAAGGGGTTTCAGTAAGACCTGTGCTGTCAACTCCCACCTCCGGATTACCCTCAGTTGTCACCTCTGTCACCGGAGATAACCTGGATTTTTTGTACCTGAAAAACTCCTCCTGGACCCCTGTTGATTTCCCCAAAACCCCGCGAGAAGAGGAAGAAGAAGGATCATGGATGCTCTGTGTTGACGAGGTGGAGATAAGATGTTCTTCTGCCCTAGCAACCCATTTTAGTTTTTGGGCTCTAGTCTATCTCTTTCTATGTGAATATGATTGAAGTTAGATTGTGTTGGCTCCATTCCATGAAGCCCAACTTAAGCATAACTTAAGTCTGATCTTTCTTGGCCTCCTGAAACTGAAAATTTTAAGTAAAATATATAGTTGGATGTAAGCAAAAGGCTTGGTAGTTCTTTAAACAATCATGCAGATAAGAAGGTCTATAAACTTTTGACGTAGCAAGAAACAGGGTAACTGAGACTCCACTTCTAGTGTAGGAGGAACTCAAAGAGTTTTCTGGGAACTAGGAACACTAGATTAAAGAAGATGCTAAGAAAAGAAGCTGATGTCATTGAAATAATGATGGTTAACCATTTGAATCACCCTTTGAAGCATACAAAGTAGATTTGCCTGTTTAGCATGCAAACTTTGGTTGAAGTTTTTTCTTCTCATTTTTTTCAGCTTATTGATCTCTCTGCCTTTTTGTTCTGTTCGTTCTGGCCATCTTTTGTCAATTTCTTGCAACTCTGGCAGGATGCAGCGTAAGAAGGGTCAGTTTACATCATCCAAGGCAGCTTACGATGAAATGGGTTCAGCTTCTGCAGATTGGAGTGGAACTCAGGGTCCTGGCCATGACGAACAGGAAACTTCGTGAGTGATAATCTGTTCTTTTGAGCTTTCTTCTCTCTCATCTTTCTATTATTATTTTTTCATGGAGGTGACTTGCTCTATGTTGACTGGGATTGATTGTTGTTGCATTTCATTTCAACTTTTAACACCAATCTTGCCAATTTGAAAGAAATTTGAAGCTTCAGGAACCTTGTAAATCTGTTTGATTGTCTGCACAGATGTACACACTGTGGAATTAGCTCAAAGTCTACTCCAATGATGCGTCGTGGGCCAACTGGGCCAAGGACATTGTGCAATGCATGTGGGCTCAAGTGGGCGAACAAGGTCTGTGACGTTGATGGCTTAATCTGTTTTTTAATTTTTGCTGTACAGTATCCCGTATATTTAGTGCATGTTTGGGCATGGCATTGAATTTGTAATCATTACCATTACAGTTGTTGCATTGACTGCCTACCTGAAAATAGTAGTTGATGTGATCTGAGTACTGTTGAGTGCATTTGGCCTGGATAGATCACTTGGAAATGATGTATGTTCTGCAAAATTTATAACCCGGAAAGTATGTTTAAGTTGGGATTCATAGGTGAAACATTGCTTTACTGATGATTAGAATAGGAATAATTGAATCCTAAAGGATCTTGTTGGATCTAAATTCTAATCTTTAGAAGGAAAGTTTGAAACTATTTTTTCATGGAGGAAATTATGTGGTATAGTGTACTGAGCTAAAAAAATATTACGTGGTACAGTGTAAAGAGACAATGCTCTTCCTTGATTAAATCAACTATTGATCTTAATCATATGCTTGCTTATACAAGGGTATTAAAGATTAGCTATGCTTCTAAAATTAGATATCTTGTTTGTCAGCCTCCTTTCAAGATATAATCTGCTTATAAGAAATAATTACTAAAAGAAAGAGGTATATCTATTAATGTACTGAATAGTAGTTAAAGTCGGGCTTAAAAAGATCTCTGCGAGTCTGCCCATTTACCAATCTTGTGCTGTGTGCCTGTGACCCATCATATTTTGTAATTCATCCAGCTTGGATGTGACACCTATGACAATTGTTAAAACTGAATCTGTTCTTCAAGATTAATGGTCAATCTACATCTATGACAATTGAAAGGGCAACAAGGATGTCGTGGCTACAAAATGATGGGAAATGTTGGGGGACAAGTGGATGCAAATCAAATCAGAAGGATGTTTGATGTAGGACAGAGTAGTGCTTTGATACCAAGTTGGTGTAGAAAAGCTGTGATACCAAGTTGATGTTGGTTCAGAAAGAAAGTAGGAGATGAGAAGACAAAATATAAGATAAGGCTAGAAGAAGGAGATGAGAAGACAGGTTGAAAAGGCAGGTTGGATAGACTGAATGGTTGAGAAGAGCAAGAATGATGAAGAAGAAGAAGACACAGAGAATTATAAAACTCACATAATAATCAATAATTCAAGACTGAATATTTTGATTACATATTAGTCTTTATATAAGATAAGGGTAGAAGAAGGAGATGAGTAGACAGGTTGAAAAGGCAGCTTGGATAGACTGAATGGTTGAGAAGAGCAAGAATGATGAGGGAGAAGAAGACACAGAGAATTATAAAACTCACATAATAATCAATAATTCAAGACTGAATATTTTGATTACATGTTAGTCTTTATGTAGGCAAGATGATAACCAAACCTTAAGAACCCCACGAAATAGGAAAATACAAAAATAACCCTGAAACTAAACATTACCCAAAATAATAATAAACAGAATTTTTTAGTCCTAATTTACAGAACTTCCTAACTCTATTTATCATTTCCCCTTTTCATAAGCGGTTCCGGCTCTTGGGTCGTGCCTTGGTCTCCATCAGTGTGAATTTTTTTTGGTAATACCTTCCTAATGAGCCTTGGCTTATGTTGAACTATGATAGTCTGTTATAAAGGATGGTTTGAGCTCGTCTTTGCATCACTAGTAATGCCAATGGCGGGGTGTTTTCTTCCATTGATGGCAGTGACTGCAGCTCTTATGAACAGCCTCCTTCAGGCTTAACATAAAAATATTAAACACCTGGTGTTGGAGCTGTATTTATAAGGTTATTGCAGATTAGCACGAAATGTTAGATGAGTAAACCTTGAAATTGATCTATTCTTCAATGATAGAAAGGCGATTGTGGCGTTGTCTAATTTGGGGTTGCTTTCAAGCATTTTCATAGGGAGCGAAATTAGGTAGCTGAATACTTTTTTAGTCTTGCTTACTTCCTAAAGAAGATAGGATATGATGGACCAGTTTCTAGCAGGAATTCTCAACCTTCCAGGGCATTAATTGGTAAATATCCTCACTGCTGCCCTCTGCAATTTAACTTATATTATCCTTGTGATTACAATAGTAAAAGTAATGAACATGAGGGAGAAAGTAAAAATTTGGAACATATTAGAGATATTTCTCAACTGCCATGTATGTAGCTACTGCTACTGCTATTCATTTGTTGCAAGATAAAAACTAAATGAGGAGAGATGAAGGGGGAAAATAGAAGCTATGAACAAACTCAAAATCAATATACTGCACATAATTATTGACAACAAAATTAGCACAAGATGGGAAGACATCATTAGAGGTATAGCACAAGATACTAAACAAATCACTAGTTTGAATTATGGTAGATCAGGAAGTTTTCACCAAAAATTAGTTTGTAGTAGGCTGTGGTGAGGCATGATTTTGAAGCTTGATTTTTGCAGGGAGTTCTAAGAGACCTTCCAAAGGCTTTACCAATGGGAATCCAAGATTCTACCGGAAAGGCTATTGTACAGGTAAGTGGTACACCCCTTTAAAAGATCCAATTTGGCTAGTCTCTTAGAAGTTGTCTCTCTTTCTCTCTCTCTCTCGTTATTTTTCTTTCTAACACCACATTCTCATATTAATTTCGTTAAGGTAAATATTCAAATCTTTCCATTTCCTTCTTCTGTTGCAGAGTGATGGTGAAGCTAATAACTCAGATGCTATAAATGCCGCTGCTGATATAGTCACTTCTAATGGCGATAGTTCAGCTGTAACTGCAGAACGGTGAGAACTTTCTTCCAGTCAATCCCATCCATGTTGCTGTTAGATTCGTATATGACGAATATTGCAGTCATTGTCATGCCAGTGGTTTTAAATTAATATATTTCAAATAAGTGGGAAAATTTTGTTTAGTAGCTCTCAGCTTTCTTGCATAGATTGTACATAAAGTTCAATGGCTTTGATCGATATATGAGTCATGAGATTATATCATAACATCATCTTAATTTTTCCATATTTTGTAGGTATGGAGCCTGATTTGGAAATATAATGTTATTTTGGCTTTGCATCCCAGCCAATCCATTTCAGACACCGTGAATCTTGACATGTGTTTGCTATTGTCCTATAACATCCGATTCTGTGTGTAGATTGAAATTGGGAAATTTTAGGGAAGTAATGGAAGGGAGTAAGTTGTATCAGTAATTTATTTGTCTGCCACCCAGCCTCAGCGCAACATAAGGAAAATATTTTTTGTTTTTTTGTTGCAAACTGGACGTCTGAGATATGTGAAGCCTTTGTATGTTACAAAAAACCCTTGCTAAGTCATTGTTAGAGAAATAATTATTAGAATCATCAGCTTTTGATGGCTTCAAGAAATATATGGGGTTTCATGGTGTATAATTGTTTGAATGTGGAAAAAGGTGTACCTGTGCCTCTTTAATTCAAGGAAAGGGATGTTCTTCTGGACCCGAATACTCTCCCGACCCGCAAGGAAAAGCGGGAAATCGTTACTGGAGAGAATTTTGATTTATTTATTTCTTCTTATTATAAGCAAAGGGAAGCATGTTTAACTGAATACATAGCATGTTTTTACAGGTCAACGACAACCCACATTACTACGATGAATGGCTAGTAAGCGACTCACGAGTTCTAACCAAGTTAGCCTCTTTAGAAAGATTTCCGAAGAAATGTGTCACGATCCATAAATTGTTGATGATGAATGGATGGTTTTATATCTTCCGAATGGTCTAACAAAGTTAGCCTCTTACGAATTGATTTTATATCTATCTATGCCAGAGAGCACTTGGTTCAGTCTGAGCTCAGAGAACTAGTTCTTGTACGTACCAAGATCATACTCGGTGTTATATCCTCTTGATCTTAAAGTGGATGGTGAGTTACAAATCTCGTGAGATCAAATGGTTGGGTGTGTATATATGTATATAATTAACATCTCTAATACCTCATATGACAGCTCCGCATATATATTAGGCCAAAGAAAAACACCCTTAATGCTTTACTTTTGGGCAAATAACACCTCTATTGTTTATTTTGGTTTTGGTTGAAAAAATGAGCCAAAAAAAGGGTGCTTATGTTGTGTATATAAAGTCCTTTTAAGTCATAAAAATTAGCAAAAGAAGGCTTGAAGTCACTCTTAAAATATAAAATTTCAAAAATACCATTTTCTCTTCCTATAATGCCCTTATAAGGGCAAAGTGAGAAAAACACCTACAATGTTTACATTTTGGATAAATAACACTCTTATCATTTATTTTGAATATATAAGTCAGTTAAGTTTGAAATTAAATATATAGGTCTGTTAAATGTGGCAAAAATTGGCTTGATGTCATTGTTTCATTAAAAATTTATCTATGTGCATTGCACATGACATTTTTAAGATATAAAATTTTAAAAATACCATTTGTCTCTTCCAATGATGTCCTTATATATGACACACTTGTTACATTTAATTAGTTTTTTTTTTTTACCAATTTTTATTCAGTTGTAGAGGGGTATTTTAGTCTTTTCAGCATTAAGGTCCTTGTTTGCACCAAAATTACATGTTAAGAAGTTTATAACGTACAACTTATACACTGTGTACGCATACCATAAAGGTATTTTTTGCCCGAAACCCTATATTATATATATATATATATATATATATATATATATATATAAAGAGAGACAATTTAGTTATTTCACATTTAATTAGTTTTTTTAACCTATTTTTTTATTCAGTTACAAAGGGACACTTTAATTTTTTCAGCATTCAGGTTCTTGTTTGCTTCAAAATTGAATGTTCTGGAATTTTTAGAACGTATAGAGGTTATACACTCTATATGCATACCATAAGGGTGTTTTTTACTCGTGACCCTATATATAATTCATTTAAGGATATTTTTGTAATTTTAAAAGTGACGCGGTGAACTGTAACAGCTCCACATATATATAAGGGTTAAGTGCAAGAAACACCTCTACTATATTCAAAAGGTGCAAAAATCACCCTGCTGTTTCAATGTGTGCAAATAAGGACGTTTCAATTGAAATGTCTAAAATACCCTCATAATTTTTTCTCCCATCTCTAATGTATTCCAAAACGTCGTATTCTTTTTAATTAAAAACCATTTGCGATAGCACTAGTCCTCGTAGGATACGGTTACATAAAGGGTGTCAAACCATAGAGATTGCAAAGTTTATGGCTTTTAAATTTGTAAGATTGATTCCAGTTTAATTCGGGATTGATTGGTTTATTTGTGTCGGCCCAAGTTTTATAAACCCGGTGCGTCAGTGATGACCAAAAGATAACCTAATAACGGATCTGAAATGCGGAAGCGAAAGATGATCAAAGTAAAAGGAAAGAAAGGTTTTGAGGCATAGACGAGTGCTTGTCCAAAGCCAAAGCACCGAGCGCTCGTTCGGCACTTATTAGCACCGAGCGCTCGTTCAGCACTCATACAAGGTCAGTCGTTCTGACCTACAAGGTCGGTCGTTCTGACCTACAAGGTCAGACGTTCTGACTTACATGGTCAGGCATTCTGACTAAAGGGTCAAGCATTCGGACTTGCATGGTCAGGAGTTCGGACTTACATAGCCAGGCATTTTGACTGCCAAACGACGAAACAAAAACAAGTTTAAAGCTAACCTTAAGGCTATACATGCATTCCAAATGATCCGAAACAAGTTTTAAAACATACTTGTGAACTTTAAAATTAATGGCCCTTAGCCTCATGTTATACATACAAAATAGGCATCGTCAAGTGTACTTAGATACACATTACATATCAAGGAAGCCATCTTAACTTCTAAAATACCATACATCTATGGTATGCAAAAATATAACATCAAAAGTAAGCATGCTAAACATTTGCATGTCAATACACAAAAATATTCCAAAGTGCTCATAAGCCTCTTAGGATGATGAGTATCCGAGAATATTGTCTCCTTACCTATAAAATAACCCAAACAATTAAGGTGAGTAATCAAGTTACTCGTAGGAATAAGCATATGCGTATACCCTAAAGTTTAAATATCATTGCAAGATTAATATAAACGAATACAAAGGATCATTCCACTTAACGTCTATGTTCAAGGTGTTCTAAAGGATCATCTTAAGCTAACTTAAATGATTATATCACAACACAATATCAATATCAATGTACTTAACGACATTAATTCTCAATAACCAAAATTACAAGTCACAATTAAACATTGGTTGTCAACTTGAAAATGAATGCGAAACCAAATAGTGGAAAACTTGGACATCAAATCCCGGAGTAAACCAAGACCTAAACGGTTATTACGGGCACTAACCCATTGGGAATACCACCCTAGTGCGCACTATAAATGGGGAGAACTCATACCTCCCGTACTAGAGCCAAACTCTAGCCATGTCACTTGTAACAATGTCCCAAGAGAATCCAAAATCATAATTAAGTTCAAAACTCATACACTATAATTAAGGCATATATATAGGGATGGCAACGGGGCGGGTTTCAAACGAGTTTACCTAAATCCATCCTCGCCCCGTTTAATTATTGGCAACTCCATACTCGCCCCGTACCCCGCGACGGGTTGGATTTTCATATCCATCCCCACCCCATTGAGGAATGACATGCCCCGTGCCGCGCCCCGCCCCCAATTTTTTTTTTTTCTCTTTTTTTGGATTTATTTTGTGACATGTACCCGCCCCGTCCGCCTCGCCCTGCCCCGCCCCAAAAATTTTCCCTTCCACTTTTTGGACCTAAGATGTTGTTTTACTGTAAATAGCCGAGGAATGGCGCATAACATATATGAATCCCAACAAAAATAAATAAATAGCATGCAAGTAGCATAATTCAGATAACATAAACAACAAAAATAAGGGTTTAATACAACCAAATTACTAGAAGTTATAAGCTCCAACATTCCACCATAACCAAAACAAAAGCAAGTTTAATACCAAATTACATCCCAAATTATCCAAAATTAAAGTTTGAAATTAACAAAAGATAACAAAAACAGAAAAGCTAATTTAAATCCCTTAAATGATCTATATGGCATCTACAATCTCCCCATGTTTTCAAGAGTGTTCATGAATTAATCAAAACTTGAAAATTATGAACAAAGGAATAATTTAATACATAAAAAAATGATTAATAAATTGATGAAAATTATGAACAAAGGAATCATTTGCATAGCAGCCTGACCATTTTAGAGAGAGAGAGAGAAATGACTGAGAATAGGCACATAATCAATGATTAGCAACTGTGTGTATCATAAATTTATAAAACATAAGCATCACAGTTAATAACTTAAATCATAGACTACATCCACCATCAGATCAAACAAAAATACATAGATTTACAGAAATCAAAAACCCTAAAAATCCATGACCAATTACAATATCAGAACCACAAAAATAGAGACATTATCATACGATTCATACATGATATCAACGAAATAACATTAGAGTTTGAAGAAACAACACAAGTCACGAGAGAGAGAGAGAAGGACAGACTACCTGATAAAAAGAAACAAAGCCTGTGTAATTGCGTGGATGGTGAATCTCTCTGCCTGAAGGTCCTGAAGGGCGTGATAAATGGTGTCTGGTAAGGTTTTGGACCTTTGGTGACCAGTGAGGGAGAGGTGGATCGAGGGCCTCAAGGGTTAGGTTTTTTGCTTTTTGCCTTGATGCGCCGCTCGGCTCTTTGTGAATTGTGGCATCAGGAGTATATATATTAGGGTTAGTTGTTGTACAACATAAATTATTAATATTATATATTATATTATATATTAAACATAAATTATTAATATTATATATTATATTATATATATATATATATATATATATATATATATATATATATATATAGCGGGGCGGGTATAAATCAGAACCCTTCTCCGCCCCGCGACCCGCGGCGGGTACAAAAATTATATCCATACCCGCCCCGACGGTATAATATTTATAACCATATCCCGTTATTGACGGGGTGGTAAAAATTGCCACCCTTACATATATACCACCTTCCTTGCACAACTATTTTGAAACCACATAAACCATGTCTTAGGGTTCCAAGTCTAAAATGACATACCAAATGACAAGTCCTCATTGTGATATAATGTACAATACAATACCACCAACTTATCAATTTAAATCATGCCTCAACAATAAACTTTATATACTAAATCTTAACATTAGAGTAATAAGCTTCTAAAATAATTACAATTAGTAATCTACAAGAATATAGAATTATCATCACATAAATATACTAATTCAAGTCAATAAAAATTGTATATGACATCAATAATTCTACACAATATACATACATATCATGCATGCTTAAATCAATAAATCATAAGTCACATGTGAGGATTTCCTATAATATGCAAGGCTACAATATTAAAAGCATATACACAATATATATTAAACTCCAAAGGATCATAAAACACTTAAAGCATAAACACACTACCTCCCCTACCTCAGTAGAGAATTGAATCTCTATAATCCAAAGCAACAAAGCTTAAAATGGAAGACAAAACTAGGGTTTTGTAGATGAGAGTGAGATGAAACTTTTACTTCTCAAGGTTAAAGGTCTAAGGTGAGTGGAAGAAGGCCAAAATGAAGTAATAAGCTCTAAACCAAGCTTTTCTTCAATGGAGGCTAGGTTTTGGTTTTGAGAACAAGGGAAAATGAAAGAGATAAAATGAAATGAGGTAGGTGGAGGATCTAGTATTCCTCCACTCACTAGGTGTTCTTACACTACCTCTCTCACACACACAATGCAAGACTCAATTTGGTGCCTACACTTATCACCAATCCATGGCTCCTTCCTAGGTTAAATCGTAAGCCTACACTTGTCAACCATCCAAGCCAACAAGTGCACCTATTCTAGACCAACAAGTGGGTGAATCTCCACCCTCCACATGTCATAAGATAAAGCTTCCACGTGACTCCACCCCAATGCCAACAAGTGGCTCCATGAGAGTGTGGCACTTGTTACACTTTTCAAAAATTGCAAAAAAGTCATTTTCTAAAATATCTTCCAAATTAATTTGCAAAATGGTCCCCAAGACGAAAAGTAATTATTTTACATAATTACACAAAACCCCAAAAATTAAGAATGTTTCAAGGAAACTATGCATCGATACCCTTTTACGAAAAAATAAGCAACTAATATGCTTTTCTACGAAAGTAAAAATACATATATTATGCAAATCAAATATTATGAATGCATGCAAAGTTGGAATCAAATCCGAGCACAAAAAGTGAGGTTATGTAATGAAAAACGATAAACGGGAAAAAGACGAAAAAAGAAATCATCGAAAAAGGAAAGGAAGGAAAATGACAGGGTCATTACATTATTGTTATTTGTTAACTACGGAATTGAAATTGACTACTGCAATGACAATTGAAAATGATTAAAATGATGTGAATAGAGAGACGGCTAGGGAATTGACTTCGCCATCCCCTTACAACTATGGCTAATTATGTTTATCAAGGGAAAAAAAAAAGTGAAATTCATGGCATTGATTCGTGTGGCTTATGCTCACAACGGAACCATCAAGAAGATAAATGCACATACAAGTCAAGAACTAAATATAGTTCATCTTTGGTTAGCACAAATTGTCAACCTAACTAAGTTAAACTAACATGTAGTACAACTTATCTTCCCTAAGTATGATATATCAAAGTTTTTGCTTTGTATGTCATGCAAACAATTGTATAACTTGTTAATTTCATTGTCACTTATGAAAATAAACATGTTTCCTTTAGAACAAAAGCTTTCGAAGACAAGAAAGGGTTTTATAATAAATGATTATCAACATTAAAATCTATTACAAAAATATTCAACTTGTAAACATCAAAGTAATACAGTGTCATACAAATACATTATTTTTCCCAAAATATACACAAAATCAAACCATAATTACTTGGAGATGGCTACATCAACTCCCTAGGAAGAGGTTTAGTTGTTCATGGTTAAGGTGGAGGCCTCCTTGGTGGAAGAAAGCATTATCACCAGGCTAAACTCCTTGGATGGCCTTCAATCTTCAAGAACCAAGCTTTCCCTCTCTAGAACTCTCTATTTCTCTCTCTATATTCCAATATATCTCCTCTATGCAAGATAAGATACATATATGACTTGTGTGGTCTCAAAGAGGTCAAATCTCATGCCCCAAAAGTCTACCATCAGATCTCCAAAAAGGGAAAAATTGGTGTACTTTTGGCCAACTTTTCACATACTAAAGTGTACTGGATGATCAGTTGTAACTTGTTAAGTTGGATGCCATGGCTTTTCCGCGCACGTATTGTAGGTTGTCAATGTGTTGTGGGCTGGAATTCTACGTCTGGTCGTAGATTTGCCAACTCATTGGAGTGAATTTGCAATTCGAATTTACAATTGATCTTCAAAGTCTAACATTTATGACCGGTCATAGGAATAATGCCTTGGAGCTATGACCGATCGTAGGCGTTGAATAACCAATGCTCCTTTTGGGGTTGTGTTTTTGCTTAGGCCTAAACCTTCCATTTTCAATCCAACCCAGAATTGTCCATGATTTTGGGCCAATAATCTTGATTGATATCTTCATTGAATTTTAGCCTAAGTAGAATCATCATTTGTAAGCCCGAACTTTTCGGTTTTAATTGCTTTTGAGGTTGAAAACTTGAAAATAGGAAAAACAAATAAATACCATAAAAAGCATAAAATAGAAACAACTAAAGTGCTAAAATATGCAAATAAAAGGGCTTGAATGTGTAACATTTGACGCTTATCACACTCCCAAACTTACATAATGCTAGTCCATTAGCAATACAACACATAAAATGAAATGAAACAACATAAATAAATCTTCTTTCATGGGAATGACAATTGCTTTTAACATATATAGCAAGCCTTTTGAACCCCTAGGCATTCTTGGTGAACGAGTGAAGTCTCGTGAGGGTTTAACAGAAATGATCCCCAATAATGTTAGCAAAATTGGTGCATGAAGATGCAGAAAGCTCATTCATCTCATGGAACATTTGAAACATTGAAGAAAAGATCATTATAAATATATTTGAACATTAATCTTGCAAATATCTGATAAACATGCCTAAACCTACCTTGAGTAGTCACAACAGTTGAAAATATGATCAATAGTCTCTTCATTTTTCCAACATAGAACACACTTTGAAGCTAAGGAATTCCTCTATTATGAAAATGTGAACTTGTAACCACAGCATTCTGCAATACCAGAGTAGTATGAATCGACCATCTAGGCCAAAATGATAACAGATTCACTATATTGCAAAACAACAAAATTCATACATTACAAAATAATAAGTATTCCTTACATTATAAGGTATAACAACACAAAACTTAATTCCTACTTGTATTTTACATGACAAAATAACTTAATCAATTACATCACAAAACAACTTATACGTCATTCGGTAGGAAGGAACGAAGATGGTAGAGAAAAGATTGGAAGGAAGGAACAAAGCTCCTTTATTTGGTAGATAGGAGACTAGGAGAAAAAAAGCATACTATGATGGATGAATCATCCTTCCCCCTTTACAAATTTTCACCTTTCTAAATATGGATGGAAGAGAGGAGGGAAAACAACAGAGATTATTATAAATGTTTTAAATTACAATACTATTCTTCATAAATTACATATTATTGATAGTGATAGGTAGAATGATAAACATAATTTAAAACTCTTTATTCCCTTTTCTCCTAGTGAACATAGTAAGTTGTTAACTTCTTCTTTTCTCTTCCATTCAACCAAATAAAAAGAAAGAATGACTCAATCTCTTCTCTAGGGATATCTCATCCATCCATTCTTCAATTCCTTTCATCCATTTATTTGTTTATTTATTTTTTAAAATTATTTAACGAAGCATTAATCAATTACATCACTTAGGACATAAAAGCTCACAATGCAATCACAACTTGAGAACATTGAAACCATCAAACTTCACAACTCCATATTTTGCTTCAAACATTTAAAGCTTTTACCTTAGGAATCAATTCTCAAATTTTATTTCACCATCTCAGACCTTACCTCATCAATATATCAAGTCTTATCTCAGCAACTTCAGTATCTGGGTAAAATTGTGGTTTAGATTCAACAACTTGTTCTGTAATGAAATGTATTAGCTTACACCATGCTCATAGGTTGCATTTCCTACTTGGACAAGCATAATACAACCTATCCTTATTTTTTTTATGAACCTGTAACCCTAGTTGCAAATGTTCTTCCACATCGACAAACCTTATCCATATACTTTGGTTCATCCACACTACTGCGATAGTACTATGTGTGCTTGTAGACATTGTCAGTGCGATGATCAACTAAGACATAAAGATGTGAGAAAAAAAATCCAATAAGCAATAAATTTAAGTTAGTAAAAATGGAAAAACGAAACCCTAAAATTGAAATATAACCCGAAATTTGAATCAAATTGGCTTTAAACTAACTTCGAATTAACTTGCTTCTTCTTCTTTTTTTTTTTAGCTTGCTCTAAACTGAAGTTTGCAAAAAAAAATTCGATCGAGAGCCATGGAGACGTATAATGGTTGTATTTGAAGAGGTAGAGATTTTATTGTCATTCAATGTCAATTAAGAAGGTTCAAATAGTCATTTTCATCCAATGAAGGGTAATCCTAAAATTTCTACAATTTTGATTACATGACGTCATTTTCTGTCGTTTGACCGTTAAAAAGAAGTTGAAATAAGTCAAAATAATTATTAAAATCACGGAAGAAGCCCGTGTAATTATGAAAAAATTAAGAGTAGGTAAGTTTAATTTAACCATAAATATATATATATATGTATATGCACCATTCCATCTTATTTCGACGGTGATGCCACGTCAAGTTTCCTTTCCAACCCTCGTGCTCCCAGCACCTGACACACACCCTCCTCTCCACGTGATGCTTAGCTAAGTGTCCTCACACTACCATCTCAACGTCCACAACTGTACGGCTTTGATGCTCTCTCTCTCTCTCTAAAAATACAAAAAAAAAAAAAAATTAAAAAAAAGAAAAGAAAAGAAAAAAACCGATTTCTCTAATTTTTCGAAAGTTCAATTGGGTCTCTCTCATCGTCATGTCTTAGCACACTTTTTCAAAATTATCCACTGCAAATTTACGAATAATTTGTGAGAAATTGTTACGAATAACGTGCGATTAGGGTTTCAATTTCTGTACCACTCCATCTCTGTTTAGAGAGAGAGAGCGTGGTTTGCAGATAGAAAAGTTAAAGAGCGAGATATATAGCTTGATATATATGCACACAGTGTAGAGTGATAAAGAGTGATGCTGGTATGATGGATTCGATGAACCCAATGCCACTTCAAGTTCGGCCCTCGGAAGGGCAAGAAGAAGACCACATGCAGGTTTCGATTCGTGTTGATGAAAATGGAGGTGGATTTGAAGCCGATGATGGCAGTGAAGGTTGTGACGATGATGCGATGAACAGCGCTGAAGAGGTTCATATGAATCCAACAGTCCCTGTGAATCACAGTACAGCTCTCTTGTCTCAGACGAGTGAGCTTACCCTTTCGTTCGAGGGTGAAGTTTATGTCTTCCCTGCGGTTACTCACGAAAAGGTTAGTTCTTACACCAATTTGTTTCTGAAATTTTCTTTTCTTAGCAGTTTCTGACAAGAGAATTATTTATATCAGTTTCAGCGGTTCATTTCCATGTAAATTATATGATTAACCCCAATTTGTCAGTAAAAAATGCTATACAACATGCTACGGATGGATTTGAAATTCGTGGGACTGTATTAGAACCCATTTGTGTTTGTGGATGAATTGATACTTAAAGTTCTTTTTGATTAATTATTAGTGATCTTCATATGTCATCTTTGTCTTTTGTGTAGTTAGTTGTTTGTGTCTTGTTGTTTTCCTATATTTGTGGGTATTTGTGTAACTAAATTGGGACAAATTTTCTTGTGCGCCTGGAAGGTCTATCTTTTTGGTTGGCTATATATAATTATGCTTTTGTGAATGTAATCCACATTATAAGATGTTCTCTTTTCACGTGCTTTAGAGTTGTACTGATCCATTATAGAGTAGAGGGTTAAACAGGTTTGTTTGGTTAATAGGGACTTAAGTTGTCAAATTTGGTTGATCAAAACTAGAGTCCGTACATTTACTTTTTATTTTTAGCTTAGTTATAAATTCAAAAGTAAGTTCGTGTCCTGGAAGTCGCATCTCGCTCATGGTGGAAGATGGCATTCAAGCTACATTTAAGGGTAAATGAGTAATCTTCTACACCTAGGGTATAATGGTAATTTGACACTGATGTACTCACCAATATTGGGATTCATGCATGCATGCATTAGGGTTTTTAGTGTCTCATGATTTGATTTAGAAAATCCTTTTGATATGCATGCAAAGTGTTCTGAAACTGCCTAATATGAATATTTTCCAAGTATAATTGTGCACACGAGTTTTGTTGATTGATAGACAGGTTGATCGATTGACCTGTTCGAGTTTTCAGTTTCCTTTTCAATTTAAAGCACTGTCCTACTATCTCTACAATACTAATTTACCTATAAATACACTACTCTCACAGAAAGAGATTACACAGAGCATAGAGAGATTTGTATGTTTTTGAGTGCATAAATTTTTTTCTTTACATTCGTCAATTGTATTAACATTGGCGAGTGTTATTAAAGTGCATTGACACAAATTGTTGTGGAGCTAATCGGAAAAGTTCAACACCAAAAACCTATCAAAATTTCAAAGGTTGGGTTGGATGATTAGTGGCGGAAAATGAATCACTAGTTGGAGCAACACTTTTGTGTGGAGCGAAGCCTGTTGACGAGCAGATTCATGAAAATAAGAAATGCTCATTCTAATGGTTCTAACATGTTTCTGGAGTGGTACCTTCCGAAAAAAAAAAAGAAAGTTTCTGGAGTGGCAAGTTGGCAGCAGAATGTTCGTCTTTGACGGTATTTGTTTAACAATCATCATACAATGGAGTTAAATGCCATGTCTGAAGTGGGTGCACACTTTGTTTTCCTTGCATGCACCTGGTTTCACTGCTTACTTAGTGCTGTCCATTGGGTATAGGTAGTTATGATAATAACAACAAAGGGAACTACATTTCATCAAGATAACTTGTGTTTTCTTGGTTTATATCATAAAAGTGGAACAACATAGAGAATACTTGTATGGTCTCTGCTCAAGGATCTATATTTTCTTTTAAATAAATACATAACCTACCTATGTCTGGAATTTATTAGAAAATAGAAACATTTGCTATATAGGCTTAAGTCATGGTATAAAGACGAGTATGTGAAAGTGTGATGTAATGCAAAGAAATTTGCTATTTTATTTATTTAGCTGTTTTTGATATGAAGACTCAAGGAAAAGGGATATACTTTTTTTTTCTCAATTTTGATTCAATGTTAGTGATGTTTGCAATGGACATAGGATGTCATAGTCACTGGCACGGTCATTTTGCCTTCAAACATATCTTGAATGTGGTCATTGTAGTGTCAGTCTATTGGCCTCCAAATTAAGTGCTAATTACTTTGCTTTATTTTACTACATTTTTGCAGTATATGTTAGTTAAAAACTTAAAATATCAATTCTGTTGGCCCTTCTCATTTTATGCTTATTTTAAATCATTTTGTTGACTTCCAGTTCAAACTTCAAATGGCTTTTGACATAGGAATCTTTCATTTTTTTTTTTTCTCTAATTTGTTGATATGCTTGGAATTGCTTAGATATGTATACTTAGTGACTAATTTTGCAATAAGCATGCATCATTTAGAAACTATGGGTGTAATTAGTCATCTGTCAGATTCTGATTTTCATATTCACTATCTAAGACGGATTCGCCACCTGTCACAAGTCCGTAATTCTTGGAAATATGCAATTTAAATACGTAGTTGGAGGTGGGGATGTGCTGATATGTACTTAGTGATCTCATTTCAGTTGGCTGGGGTTGGACTTGATGGTTCATTGCAAAGATGAGTATTAATCTTGATTAAGTATCTCTTATGTCCATTTTGCTATGTTTTATTTATATATTGCTTTACATCAGAGTGAAATTTTCTGCACATTGCAATCTTAATATGAAACTGTTTGTGGATAATATCAACTGCTATGCACAATATGCTGCCTGGTTATCTTGATGAAATAATACTTGATTTCTTGTAATATGCATAAGACAGGTGCAAGCAGTGCTATTGCTCTTGGGAGGGCGTGAAATACCTAGTATTGTGCCTACCTCAGAATTTTTGTTACAACAGAGCAACAAGGTATTCCTGAAACCACACTGCCTTTTCTCTCTGAGTTTTAATATAGCTGGTATATTGCTATAGTTTTATACTATTATCCTCAATGTGCTGTAGAGTGTTGGTGATGTCTCACAACGTCCAAATCTTTCTCGAAGAGTTGCATCCCTTGTTAGGTTCCGTGAGAAGCGAAAACAGAGATGTTTTGAGAAGAAAATTCGGTACTATTGCCGAAAAGAGGTTGCTCAGAGGTAGGTGAGGCAACACTAATTTGTTTTAGTAACTTACACTATCATCATTATCCTTGCCTTTCCCTTTCCCTTCCCCTTTCCCTTTCCCCCATAGGGGAAAGAAAAAAACTATCATAGATGATTTTGTGCAGAATGGATATGGTTACTTGCCGATTTGTTTATGACAGTAGCGAGTCTCAAGAATATTTCACGATAATTATTGACGATGTTACAATGATGTTTATAAGGACTATAAATGGATATTATACAGGCAGTCCAGCACTGAGCACTATTTATTTTTTAATCTATGTAATAACAGTAATCTGTGAGTAATGTAAAAGCAATAATTACCGATAAGCTTATTTGATAACACCCCCCAATCCCACACACACACAAAAGAAAAAAAAAAAAGAATAATAATAATAATATAAATAGTAGTTATCAAAACTTTATTGTGGGATCGACCAATAATATGTTAGTAAAAATACGTACAGCGAGTAATTTGACTTTTTGAAAAGCCAAAAAAGAATAATAAATTTTCAAAACTTATTTTTAGAATCAACAAGTTATTATGTAATGATAAATGGTGTGAAGATGTTCCCTTCAAGAGTATACTATTCCTTATTAGTTACTTTAGGAGTCTGTGCAGCGATTTATTCTCCTCTTTTCCTTGGAAGCGCATTTAGAGATCCAACGTTCTATTGAACATCACTTCTTTGTTTGAATGGCCTTTTGAGGGATGGTCCTCGCAGTTGATAATTAGATTAAGAAAAGAAAGTTCCTAATGAATTTGGGGTGTACTGCAAGAGATGGTGGGGATAGCTTCGCTAGTTGGTTTTTGGTTGTCTTGGTGCTACAGTATGTTCTTTATGGAGTTTGGTGCTTCTTGGTCTGTTGCGGTGTATTTGGAGTGTGAGGAACAGAAGGCATACGAGGATATATGGCATTTCTGAGTTCTGACTGCAAAGTTGAAGCAATTGCTTCAGATTGTCATTGTTTGTACACTTGGCAGTCAAGGGGAATTGTTGTGTCTTAAATGTGTATTAATTTGTTGCGTTTTTAAGTGAGATGGATTTAATCTTCGATGTGTTGGTGTTTTTGTTTTGTTTTCTTTTGTATAGCAGTCCCGTGTGCTTAACTTGGGCATGGGATGGGCTCCATTTTTGTCACTTTCTTTTGTGAGTTAATATTTATTGGGGAAAAAAGAACCATGTCCCCCCTTTAAATAACTTCTGCAACTGTAACCTTGAGCGTGCACGAGGCTTAAATGAACCTAAACGTTGATGTGAAAGTATTTGTTCTCTTTAGGAGTTGAAGGAATATAATTTTTATGGTATTCTGCTTCTCATTTGTTTTTTTTCCCCTTTCTGATTTTAGACAGGAAACAATTGAATATATGAGGTTCCATCCTTTTACCTTTTCCTTGTTTCAGGAGCTTTTGCTCCATTTAGAGTTTTGATCTCCTTCCCTATAAATTTATCATTTAATAATGGAATGTTTGTTTGATATTCATACTTAATTGTAGGGATGTGGATTACTTATCAAAAAAAAATTGTAGGGATGTGGATCATGAGGTTATCTTATAGTTGCTTTGAGGAGGATTTCTTGTCCTGCTTCCTTGTACTTATTTTTTTCCTTTTATGTAATTGTCTTTTTGTCATAGTAGAATAGTGGTACCTAAGAAGCATGGACACGGACATGGACACGATACGACATGGATATGCTAAACACATCAAATTCTAAAAAAGTAGGACACAGACATGGTGTGGACACGACTAATATAAATATAAATTTTCATTTATATATCTATTGGGTAAGAAAATTATAAAACTTTAATTACTTTATAATTTCTATACTAAAGTTTCATAGGTTAAGTGGTGAAGCTATTTGAATATAAAAAAGAATATAGTATATTATATATGATGTTACTATTCTATCTTGACATTGCTGTAATGTTTTTGTTCATAAACATACTATGACATGTGTTTAATGTCTATTTTTTTTAAAGAAAAAGAGGTTGGACACTTTGATATATGTTCGTAATGTTGATTTTAGGACTACCATATAAGACAGTGTGGGATTTGTTGTCGAGTGTTTGGAATGTGTTGATCAAGTGTGTGACGTCAAGCAAGTGTCCAAGATGTGTCGACCAAGTCTCCGAAATAATAAAAATTAATTTTAAATTATGGACACGGTCATGAAGTGTTAGAGATGTGTCCAGTAGTGTCCATGAAGTGTCGGTGTCCGACACAGAAACGACACCTCATAGAAGTGTCCGTGATTCTTAGAGAGGTACTTTCCAATAACTCTTGATATGTGGAATTCTGTTGAAATCTAAATTTTGATACTTGCATTGACTGTTTGTGATACTTTCTGTGGTAGCTTTTTACTCGTTACTATAATGATTGTCGATTGCTTTACTGTGCCTTTTCTTAATTTTCTTTTATAGGTGCATTATTTCACATTTAAGTGTTTTACCAAGCTTCTACTTCTTGAATGAATAGGCACCTTTGCTTTTTGATAGAATACTGAAGAAAGTGAAAATGTCTTTAGGAACCCATTCTGTTATTTTTGTGTGTTCTGGACCGCATTCTGCATAATATATTTGATTAGATAAAATAATTTCTAGTCAACTTGACTGTCTCTAAATTTCTACTGTACACTAATAAATACAACTGGAGCCCTTTCCATTTTGATTATTGTTGTCTCCAATTTTCTTTTTGTCGTTTTTGTTGATAGAATTTTACTGAATAAGTTGCTTTCCATAAATAATATTTATCCTGCTAGGATGCATCGTAAGAATGGCCAATTTGCAGCATTAAAGGAATGTTACAAAACCGATGCTAGTAGCTGGGATCCAAGTGATGGCACTCCTCCAGAATATGTGTGAGTTTGAAGTTTCATCTCATATCAACCCACATTGTCATCTCATATATCATATTTAGTATCAGTTTCTTTATTTTTGTGTCATGTCTTGTTACTCTTGTATTTTATCGTGTACTGTGAGATACATACAAATCATAAAATATTGAAAATAAATAAAAATATTGAAGTTATGATTTATATGAGAAACTATGCTCCAAGTGCTGATTCCATTATATTTAATTATATGTTTTTGGTTGTGGTTACTTGCAAAAAAAACCCCCTGCACGATGAAAAAACTTCTGCAACTTGTATATCTGCATTGTAACTTGCCTCCTTCAACTATTGAATATGTTGCAATTTGCCACCCTCCAATTTAGAGTATCCTTCAACATTTTCAACAGTTGAGGGGGAAAATTGCAATGAGGGGAGCAACTTGCAAAAACTTGTATAGTGTGTTATATATATATTATTTTATATTTTTTACTATTATTATAACCCTTTAGGTTTGTTTATATTTTCAGAATCTAGCATTCTGTTACTTTGATTTGATTAAAATTAGGATTAATTCGAAATTCTCTTTTAACTATTTTAGAGTTATAGTTACACCTTGTGTAAGGTTGTTGCGAAAGATTAATCATGGACTTTATTCATTAAGTATTGGATTTATTATTTTTTATAAATTTGGTACATCCTTGTTCTACGATTATTACATACAAATACCAAACGTTTTAGATTTGTCTTAAACAAAAATTTGTCATGACCTCAATCAATAACACACCTATCGAGGTCACGACTGATACTCAAACGCATAAGTTTTCATTAATCAATGATCAAAAGTACAAAGTATCACAGTTGTTCCTCAAAAATCTCACAGAGCTTCTCAGGTCTTCTCTTTTTCATCCTGGAAACTACCATGTTTTCATCCTTGTTCTATGTACTCACGTGGACAGTTAGACATTGATGACCAACACAGATAAATTGTGCAGGACTCCTGATTTGATATGCCTTCTAGCTTTTCTTGTATTGACCTGAAATATCATAGAGATGAGCACACAGCCCGTAAGAATTACTTCATCTAACCTTAACAATCATATAACATATATATATACACACACACACATACATATACATGTAGCTAACAAGTGCTTCATCCACAGAAAGTGTAAGGGAAACTAATTTGAAACTAGATTTTTATTTGACTAATATTTATAAGCATTACAAGCCTTTTATTAACTTGATGCTTCACAGAATATTATTACCATCCAAACACTCTCAGTGATGAACATGCAGACTAATGTTGCACAGTATATAATTATTAGCCAACGTTCTTGAATGATATACTGACTGGATGCTTTCAATCGCACATTTACAATGAAATTTTCTCGCACATATGAAGCATTCACAAAACACTATTTGATACAACTACTACAAATAAGCTGAACTCGCCCGACTCAACATACCAGTAGATTTACAAGAACATCTTAATACATATTAACCAAAATAGTCACCATTTAAGACAGGCCCGTGGTGAATGATATCTTCTTCATACAGTCACTTTGCACTAACACAGGCTCTTCCTTCAAAGGTTATTGAGATATTCTGGAATCAATTCCTCAATCCGAGCTTCCCTGAGTGTAACACCAGAATCCTTTCCTTGTGTGGTCAGCTCCAAAAATCAATATCTTAACTCTGGGATTACCCCTAAATGTCATCCATCATACTTGATCTCCCCTAGAGAGTCAGCACCTGAAAGAATGCAGATCGTCCTTTGTGTACGAGCATCTTTCTAATGGATCACTCTTTCAAAAACTCTTCCCACAGGTCATCCTTAACGCGGTTTGCCCAAGGTTTTGGGGAGTTGCTCCAAACATGTTTCATGTCTTCCCCCAAACCACCCACACCACACAACCTTGCCTAATCAATTCTATTTCGGATATTTTCCACAATTCAAACTTCATTCACAATGCCAAAAGATGATTTCACAGCACAACTAGTGCACAACTCAATCCAAAAAAATTTCTTGATTCGTTCATGCCACTTTTCCTAGTTCCTGTGAACATGCAAATATGTTGATTCAATTCAGGATCTTACAAGCTTCAATTCATAACTATTCACATTCATGCAAAATTATAATTAGAACCAACTCAAGAGGTCTTATCAATATTTTTTGCAAAACAAGAGATAATAGCTTGGCTTGTTTGGGTTGAGGAAACTGTGGATCACCTTCTCCTCCATTGCACCATGGTTAGAGACTGCTGGATTTTGAGGTTTGGCTTGTTTGGGATTCTTTGGTTTATGCCTGGATCCGTTAGAGGGTTGATTGAGGCTTGGAGAGGTTGCCATGTGGGGGCTCACATTCAGGATGCTTGGAGGGCTACGCCTCTTTGTGTGTGGTGGGGTATTTGGCTTGAGAGGAATAGGAGATATTTTTGATGGGAAGGAGATGTCGATTTCTACTCTTAAATTCTCTATTCTTTCCACCCTTTTTTGCTGGGTTTCAGGGAGAGATCATAGATCTTTAGAGGAAATTGTCGATTTTTTGGCCTCTTTGAAGGCTTAAAGGTCCTTTGTGGCCTTGTGTATTTCTTTTGGGCTTCGCTCCCCTTTTGAGCGCTTTTATAAAATTTTACTTATCAAAAAAAAAAAAAAAAAAAAAGATAATAGCTAAATATACGTCATATTTAGCATGCAGATAGTCACAAGAGGAATTGAAATTCAGACAGGAATTAGACAGAGAAACATAAAACTTGTTGACACATTTTCTAGCTCCTTTTAGCCTTCCCCCTTGCTCTTATCTTTAACTAACTTTCCTCTATTTATAGGGTGAGATTGCATGAAATTCAACTGGTACCTGTCAATTATTTTTCTTCATCTAGTACAGTTTTGCTCTCTGATTCTAATCATTTGTACTATTTTATTTTTGTCAGTTTAAAATTATTCTAATCATGGTTTTGGTCACTGCAAAATGTCTTGGTTTAGCCAGTGGGTGCCTTAATGCATTCATTCTTTTTCCATCTTGTTGGAGTTAATTGGGAAAGACTTGCCATGGTAAGGAGGAAGGAAGGACAAACACACTTGAGTAGTGCAACACAACAAAGAGTTGTTTGGTGTATTTGGGAAGGATGAATTTCTCTCGAAAAGGGAATTTGTCTCTCTCCATTGGATGGACTGCAGGTGCAGTGACAAATGAGCTAAAACAAAAGAAGCGTCTTACTTATTAAGTTATTATATGGTGATTTTTAACTGTCGATATACAGAATTGAATAAAATCAACTAGAAAAAACTTGAAACCAAAGGAATGTTAAATGATGGAATTGTGGTATGAACAGAATATAATGAAAGAGAACCACTTTGAGGTTCCATATGGAATGAGACATAGAATGGAGCCACTTTGAAGACGTTTCAAGAGTTACGAAGGAAGCTATGCGACTGAAAATACCTTGAACTGGTATTATTAATTGGTTTTACAAAATGTAGAAGGCGAAATTCTTTTGATAATTTTTGTAACCTTTAAAGATATTTTACATATTAGAAGACACAGCGATGCTTCTTTCATAGGAAGATGCAAATGAGTATCAGAGTGTTTCTTAAGTTTTTTTTTTTTTTTTTTTTCAAAGTGCCTTTACTACAATAGTTACTTAATCTCTAAAGAAAAAGTTTTGTTTTTTCTTCCAAAGTAGCAAAATAAAGCTATCATGAGTTGTATTTGTGTGTGACACATGGTGTATCAGATGATATAGTCTGGAAGCAGTATGTATTTTCATTATATATTGTTCTATGTATAAATTGCATCATATTTTACTTTTTGTATTTTTATGTTTAATTATGACAACAATTATCCAAATTGATAATGTTTTTTTTTTCCTAGTTGGTACTGACACACCTCACCTCCAAGAAATTGTTTGCACCTAGCAAGAATCTAACCTGAGACCTGAAGTTTCATGAGGATAATGTTTTTGATTTATCCATACTAATAAAATTGTAAGCGTTTTTTATTATTTATATACATTTTTCACTAATTTTTTTTTAAAAATTATGAAATTTAAAGAGGCCACATCAAATAGCCTATCCAATTTAATTTTTCAATTTTCACAAACAAGTGACCTTCTCAATCACTATTATATATATATATATGTAGAATAGGGTTTTTATTATTTATTTATATATACATTCTTACTACCTTTTTAATCAAAATATAGAATTTATAGAGCCACTCCAAGTGACCTTTGCAATTTAATATTTCCTTTTTAACACACAAGTGACCTTCTCAATTACTATTATCTTTATCTATATTTATATCTATACTATACTGTTAAAATGTATGAATTTCTGAATTTTTATATCCATTTTTTTTTTTTTTTGTAATTTTTTAATTTCTAATCAAAGAATATATATATATATATATATATATATAAAGCAATAAAACACTTCTAATGAAAAAAACTTTGAGTAGACTTTTAGTGAAAGGGAAAACTTTATTTTTGTATTTAAAAAAATGTTTCTAAATAATTAAAAAAACCTTACACTTTTATAAGTAGTATAGATTTGATTAGAAATTAAAAAATTACCAAAAAAAAAAAAAATGTATATAAAAATTAAGAAATTCATCCATTTTAATAGTATATATAGTATATATATAGATATGGATAATAGTAATTGAGAAGGTCACTTGTGTGTGAAAACTGAAATGTCAAATTGGAAAGGTCACTTGGTGTGGCTCTGTAAATTCCATATTTTGATTAAAAAGAATAGTGAAAAATGTATATAAAAATAAATAATGAAAACCCTATACTACATATATGGATGATAGTAATTGGGAAGGTCACTTGTTTGTGAAAATTGGAATATTAAATTGGATAGGTGTAGTAAGTCGGACGCTTGCCTTCCAACCCAAAAGCTTAAGTTATTGGGTAGTGCTGCATAACCGCCCATATATATCTAATCTCTTTAACATCCGGATCTGATGTGGGACAAGATACCTCTAACATTCTTCCCCACCTGAGCTTGCAAGCCTCTCATTGTGGTCAAACCACGCTGCCAAAACCCGGGCGGGTTCGCCTAGGCAGCTGCTTGGCCTAACATTAGATCAAGGACTCGGTCCGGTTTTGATACCAACTGTAACGGGTCGGGCACTTGCCTTCTGACCCAAAAGCTTAAGCTGTTGGGTAGTGCTACATACCACCCATATATACCCAATCTTTTTCCCATCTAGATCCAATGTGGGACAAGATCCCTCTAACAATAGGTCACTTGGTGTGGCCTCTTTAAATTTCATATTTTGATTTAAAAAATAGTGAAAATGTAGATAAATAATAAAAAAGTCTTACACTTTTATAAGTAGTATAGATATATATGGTGTCATTTAGTTGGTTTAAAATTAAAATTTCTTATGATTTTATAAGATTTCAACCACGTGCATTGCATGTGTCTTTTTTGTTAGTGTTCATATATAGTTGAAATAGTGCTTGTTACTTTGTTATTGAACTTCAATGTTTCCCTCTCTCTTTCTCTCTTTTCAATAGATTGCGTAGATGTCAACATTGCGGGATTAGTGAAAAGTCTACTCCAGCAATGCGTCGAGGACCAGCAGGTCCAAGAACTCTTTGCAATGCCTGTGGGCTTATGTGGGCAAACAAGGTAGGTGTAGTTGATCAAATTGCTGTATATTCGTAATTCCTTACACTCCCAATTTCTGATGGCAGGTTTTTTTGTCATGCTGAGTCATGGCCTTGACATATTTGTACATAGGATACTTTATTTTTCTTTTTATAATTATAAGGTCTGGTTTGGACCTTTTTTTATTAAGAGTGGAGTAGAACGCTAATAGGGTTAAGTAAATGTAATGCAATTTACCTGTGAAGTGTCCCGAAAGAGAACTAAAAGATAACCAACTGAACAAGTCCATGCTAAAGTGGAAACTAAGAACATATTAGCTTTGACTGCTGGACATAAATAGACAGACCTGAAAGTTGGATCGCTAGAAATGCTGCCTATCAGAAGACTTGGGATTTTTTGAGAAATAATATGATGTTCAAGGAACTAAATGTATTTTTTTGTTGCCATCTTACAAAACTTGATTTACCTACCTAACGTGTTTTAGAAGTAAAATTGAAATAAAATGATGCTTGTGATCAAGATTATTAGAATCAGGATCCTATATTGGATTGATTTGGGATCGTCAAGATCTAAATGTAGGTTGGATTAAGAATCATAAGATTCTACAAGATAAGTTAGATAACACCCAGTAGCATATGTGCATTGAACGACAAGATAAGTTAGATAACACCCAGTAGCATATGTGCATTAAACATTTCTTAAAAAAATAGGCAAGAAAAAAAAAAATTCATTAAAGAAAAAGTAAAAAGATTTAAGACTAGGATTGAAATGCATAAACCTCCATAGGGGTAGATGAACTGCAGTATGAAGGAGTACTTGAAGTTTCTAGATTTTCAGCACTTGGTTGACATGCTTACGGAAAGTGCGTGGTTCATTTGGTCTGTGGTAGGTAGATTCCAACCCTTTCTAGGTTGGATAAAATTTTGGCTTTGAAATATGAGATGAATCTCGGGAAGGATTTTCGGACCTTGTTCCATGTTGCTTGATTGTGGAGTGTTGAGGAAAGGCAAATTCTCATTTCGATTTAAGAATGTGTGGCCTTGATGAGGTGGAAAGGTTTAGAAGGGAGGAATGCAAGGTGTAGTTTGGGAAAATTGAATGATGGAAGAGATAAGTTAGAGATAAAAATCTAGAGCCCTTTGGCTAGGAAGAGGGACTGAAATACGAATTTCTTCCACCGACTGGTGAATACTCATAGAGAATCAATCACATTGGGAAAATTTGCATTGATGGAGAGGTGTTAAGCATAGAAGAGGATGTTTGACGAGGTATAGTGGTGTGCTTTTCCATCATCCAAAAGTCTCTTTTGTTATTCTTTTAGTACCTTTAGCCATCCTATTCCTCCTTATAATAGTTTCATCTTCTAAATTTAATATTGTTTCTTGTAGATACAAGATTTCTACTTTATCCCTTTTAAATTTCACAACCTAACCCTTGGACTTATAATTACTTTTTCTTTCTTTATTATACTTCAATATTACATGTCTAAGACTGTCATTCTTTCTCTTAGAATAACCTTACAATTTTTGTATGCGAGTCTATTTACTCTTGTGAAAATAATTAGTTGGACCTATATTCAATCCACATATAAAAGATAATCAAAAGTTTCTCTCTTTTTGGTATATGTTTTAGTTTTCACAAGATTATGTGCCATTACAAATAGGGCAGCAAACTCATGAAGAGCTTGAGCCCGTTTGATAAATGACCGAGCCCGAACAACCCATTGTTTGGCTCGTGATCATGACTTATTTATTAGGGATTGTTTGAATTTATAGTTATTTTTTTTCCTTATAATCTTCATTTTAAGCTCAAGTTTGAGCTTGAGATCAAGATCGGAATTGATTAAATGGGCTGAGCTACACTCTTGTATGAGCTTGACAATCAAACTGGAGCTAAAGGTTGACAATCAAACTGGAGCTTGAACAGCCGAAAGCTTTCCTTGGCTCAACTAGTTTGCGGCCCTAAATGCAAAGTCTAGGATAGCCCCCCCAATGTCATTCCTATCTCCAAATCCTTGTCTAACATGCACCATTTCATATCCTACACAATCTTTTTTACATGACCATTAAAGATTAGTCACAAAATTTATCTTTCCTTCGCGCAGTCCTGGAATTACTTCATCTATATACTACTAATATTCAGTTTTAATATGTTTTCTAGTCCTACTTGGGTACATAAATGCTAGTTATATTAAATAAATTTGTCACACCCCGTACACTCGGGTGAGGTTAATAAGGTTTAGAAAGAAAAAAGGGGACAACAATCCACCAATGAACAATCTGTGCAGCAAGCGATCAAAAATTCGTATAAAGTTCAATACTTATCGGATTGATGCAAACCAAAATTCTTTGAAAACTAGGCTCAAAATGCTACAATAATATGACTTTTTCCACGGTAGAAAGTTTCCCAATTAAATCAGTTTTTGAGATAAAGAAAGGTCTGCTTCAGCAGGAGGAGGAGGACTGAATATAAATCCAGTAATGAAATATGATCTTTTGGAATATTTGAGTAAGGATAAAATTTTAAGGCTTAGGTTTTTAGAAGGGGCATACAAAGAACTACCAACTTGGAAATTGTCAGAGGTCAAAAAGCGGATCAAATATATTAACCAAAACTCAACAAATCTAGTGACAGTAAGTGAGCAGCAGGTACCACGAGATTAAAAAAAAAAATCATTTACCGATCCAAATATCACGAAATTTTACAGGAATTAACTAGACTTATAATACTTCATGTGGTAAAAATTTCATAGCATTTCGAGAATGGAATCCATATGAAAAGTATGTTTAAAGTCACTCCTGCAACACATGGAATTCCCAACATCAAAATCGACTTCTAAAATTCATTTCAAACACCTCACTTAACATTTTTGGTTCAAACCAAATTTTGTACAACCTTCTACATGTCTATTTCAATCCCCAAAAATTTCGTTTTCAAGAGTCAAGTATAAGTAAGGAAAGTCTGTTTATACAAGATTCATTGATAATACAAAACATTGTATTAACCTCACCCCGGGGTACAAGGTGTGACAAATTATGAGTTGAATCCTGGTGCATATGAAGTCTGTCCAACATTTTCTATGATTTGATTATAACATATATTATTTTGACTTTCTTCTCCCTGGATGTCACTCACCTCATCTTAACAAGCCTTAATCTTATAATGGGATTGGCTGCATATTTCCATCTTCTCCCATCAGTTCTTCATAAAGCCATATCCTCTCTATGGTTAAAGATGATTCAATTGGATTCTTTAGTCTAGAGTCTACCAATATGTTATCTTTAATGCTTTATTTGTTAGGTTGAATGCAAAAATATATTTAAATCTGAACACACACACACACACACACACACACTAAGATGTCTTCTCTTTTAAATGGTTTCAGGCAATAGAATCCTTTATTTAGATCTGCAGTTTAGGTTGACACATTATCCAGTTTAATTCTGGTCATGATTTGTGTTCTGCTACTGCCTTCTTTGGCTTTTCAATTGTGAAGGAAAGGATGATGATGATGATTCAAATATCCAGCCCCTTGTATAGGGTGCATTAGCAGTTAGCACCTTTATTTTTCTGGGATTCATGATATTTGAACTGCAAAAGACAACCTCATTCTATTCGTTTAAGCTTGTACTCTGTGCTCCTGAAAAGTATGAAGGTTCATTTTTGTGAAGTTCATTGGAAACCACCTCTTTTTATGCCTGAGTATATTAGTGTCTCTTGGAGAACATAGCTCCCAATTCCATTATTGCAAAATGATGCTTTATCTTTCGCCATTAGTTGTCCAAACAATTGATGGTTCTACTTTTATATCATGTTTGTATTTCACAGTTACCTTACTGGCTGATACCAACACTAGTGGTTGTAATGATGTTTGCTTGCCTTTTCATATCTTACTAGTTGTTTTACTGGCTGATATGAACACTGATAGTTGTAATGATGTGATCATTTTGGTGTTACTTACCTTTCTTCAACATTTCATTGTGTTCTAAGGGAACATTGAGAGACCTTACAAAGGGGGGAAGGATTATGCCTTATGAGCAAAATGAGCCGGTATGTATTTTGATAAGCAACTACAAACTTTCATTTAAGTGAAGGCAATTGCTTTCCATTGTAAAAGATTAGAGGGTTCTATATATTGTTAAAATTGCTTGGTGTGGTGATAACTATTTGGTACACTCCATGTTCTTCGTACTGCTATTTTTGGGGAAAAGTTTCATGCTTGTTGTTTGCCATTTTTTTAATTTTATTGGGCTTAGTTTCTTGACAAGATCGTGCTTGCTGTGATTTAAGTGGGTTTTAATAGACAGATCATATGTAGTTGGAGTAGCTGTTTAACTCTGATAATGTTCATTTAATTGTCAGGAAACTCCTTCTGATATTAAGCCTTCAACCATGGAAATGCAAAATCCCTATCTTAATCATCTTGAGCAGGTATGATATATTTCGAGCAATTATGATGCATATGGATGAACAAGATAACACAGAAGTGAACTTGTTGATGATATATATGGCATATGTGTTGGAATTATTTATTTACTTATTGCTGGTATATTTAAGAACTTCTGCAGAATTCTTCAGGTTTGCTACCCGTGGAACTGATATTATATTTTGTCAATCTGGTTAATTATGATGGGAATGCTAACATTCCTTACAACAGGGTAATGTTAGCAAGTTCTGCTATTTTTAAGTGTCTCATCAGACATGATTAACTTGAGGGCTATCGAAGGGGTATTTTAGTATTTGATTGATTTGTTCTTTCTCATTTTCCTTCTCTTTCTTAGGCAATCTGTCCATGAATTACAGCTCATCTTCTGTGACTATCGCTTTTCATTTCTGATCATGATCGTTATCATTGTCGCCAAAAAGGGCAAACTATTACCCACCATCATGAACTAAATGGAAATTCATAGTTCTACCAGTAACAATCATCATCCATTCATAGTTAGCTCTAAAGTTGGTTCCTTACCAAATTGGTTCAGCTGGAATGTCTTGTTTAAGTGAGAAAACGGAACACCACTGCCTCGATTTGTTCAAGACTAGTTTCTACATTCTAGCCTATTTTGTGATGATCTTGCTATGGCAGCTCAATTTCGACAATTCATCCGGAATCATTACATGAAATTAAAGATAAGGTTTTATTCTCATAGACAACCAAAGGATTGTACAGAGAATGGATTATGTTGACCTTCGTCATATTCTCATATATTCTACTGTTCACACACTTATTTGTCTTCATCTTAAGAAGTTGAGGAACTGAGAAGGGCTTGGATTAGAGTTCTTTGGCTCCTTAATTTAATATTATTATTTTGGAAGTTAAAGCAAACACACACACCCATCATCCACAATATGTCTCTAGTGGGATTCAAACTCTCAACTCCCCCCTTTGGGTAGGAGAGATCATACCATTGGGCTTAATGTAATATTTTTTTAAGCTCCACCTATTGAATGAATTGAAAAATAGATACTATTTTAGTGTTGTTAGTACCCTACTGAAGGTGACAATTAAATCATATTTTAATGGACTCAAGTCCTTGCTTTGAGGCTGAAGGAAGTGATGGATTGACTCAATGGAGTAATTTCGGAGGCATGTAATGCTTTTGTTTGGAGGGCACCAAATCCTGGTTTCAGGTTTGATAGCCAGTGCGTGTGGATTCCAGACTTCGTAGTGGGGTGTCCGGGGGGGTGGGAGTGTCTGTAAGTTTGACATCGAGAAGGCTTATGACCATGTGAACTGGAACTTCTTGTTATAGATGCTAGAGGAGATTAGCATTGGTGAGAGATGGAGGGGGTGGATCTGGTTTTGTATTTCTATCATTAGATTTTCAATTCTAGTGAATGGAGTGCCTTTCAGATTTTTTGGTAGCTTGAGTTGTTTTAGGCAGGGGGGACCTATTGTCTCCCATTCTGTTCTTTATTGTGATGGAGGCTTTTAGTAATTTGATGAGGTGGGTTGTGGAGATGAGATGCATTCGAGGTTTTAAGTGGGCAGGATCACTCTAGTCAGATGAAGAGCTCCCATCTTTATTCGTTGACGACGTGATAGTTTTTTGTGATCCAGACGAGATAGAACTTAGATTTCTTGGGTGTTTTCTTATTTGCTTTTAGACCGTCTAGCTTGAAGATCAACCTTGGGAAGAGTGTGATTGTTCTGGTAAGGGAGGTGGGGGAGATGGATCCCATGGCTGGCATTTTAAGGTGTGGGGTTGGAGCTTTTCTGTTGACATATTTGGGATTACCTTTGGATTCTTTGGCGAGAAGAGTTGCCATATGGCATTCAGTTGTGGATTGGGCAGAGAGGATATTAGCAGGTTGGTAGAGGTAGTATCTATCGAAAGGAAGGTGTATTACTCTCTCGAATCTAACGGCCTAGTGATCCTTTCATTGTTCCAAATGCTGATTTTTGTAGTAAAGAGGATTGAGAAGTTGTAGAGGAACTTCTTATGGGGTAATATAGGGGAGGAATTTAACTATCACCTTGTTAAATGGGGGCAGATTTGCAGGCTGATTCAGTTAGGGGTGTTGAGGATTTTGAGTCTGGATATGTTCAAACAAAGCGTCGATGTGAAACTGGTTGTGGAGGCTTGGAGTGGAGAGACAAACTCTTTGGAGGAGGGTTATTTTTGTAAATTTGGGGAAGGCGGAGGGTGGTGGTGCTCCTTGGAGCTGAGTTCCTCGGCTAGAGTGGGGGTGTGAACGTTCATCTGAAAGGGGTGTGATGATTTTCCTAACATATTTGATTGAAAGCAAAAAGTGGGAGGCTTATTCAGTTTTGGGGAAATGAGTGGTGTGGAGGGAGACCGCTTTTGGATGCTTTTCCCGAGCCTCTTTCAGATCACGTTGAACAGATTCTCTACATTGGCAGATAGCTATCGCCTTGATGGTGGAAAATTTGTTTGAAATATTCAGTTTGTGAGGCACCTTCAGATTGGAAGGTGGATGATTTTGTTCCGTTCTTGGCCTTATTGTATGGTCAGCGCTTATCCGGAGAGGGGGAAGATGAGTGGATTTGGTCGGCTGCTTCCCACGGCAATTTGAGTTTTGCTCCTTCTATAGGAGATTGGTGGATGTTCAGGGCCTTTTTTTTTTTTTTTTTTTTTCCTTTGGAAGGCCATTTGGTGAACAAAATCCCCGTTGAAGGTGAGTTTTTTTTTGGCTGGATGGCAGCAGCCTTGGGTGATAATTTGTTGAGGAGGAGGCAGGTCATTGTTAATTAGTGTTGCATGTGTAAGAGGTGCAAGGAGATAGTGAATCATCTCCTCCATTACCCGGAGGGTAGGAACATACTTCTTGCATTATTTGGAATGAGTTGGGTCATGTTGCCTTCCACAAGGAGCATGTTTGATGCTTGGAGAGGGTGTATAGTGGGGAGGCAAGCTTGAGATGCTTAGAGGGTTGCCCCTCTTTGTGTGTGGTGGGCCAATGGCAGGAGAGGAACATGAGATCTTTTGAAGGGGTGGAGACTCCAACACGGGTGCTCAAATTCTATATTCTTAGTTCGTTATTCTTTTGGATTCATTGTTGGTATCATAAATCTGGGATGATTCCATGTATTTTTTGGATAGATTGAGATCTTAGTTGTTTTTGGGTTTTGTGCAGTAGTAGGATGCGCTTCCGTTTGAGTGCCTTTTTATGAATATTTTACTTTTAAAAGATATAAATACGGATATTTTAATGGACTTGGTGCATGTTAAGGATTTTTTGATAACCAACTTATGAAGAAATTTACATAGAAATGCATACAAATTATGACATACCAATAATGCCTGTGCACCAGTTCTTTTCATTCCAAAAGAAAAATAAAAGCAGATGCAATTAGTTTTAACAATATATTTTTTGATAAGTAATTATTTTAACTATTAAATGACAAGGAAGGTAATATATCTCACTTAATTTTTGAGGCCAAAGCTCGCTTTAATTTTTTTTTTTTTTTTTCTTTCTTTAACATCAGAAAACTCTAATTATGATAAGAATTAAGTCCTTAATTTACCCTTTATATTTTTGTTATCATCTTACAAAAAAATTGACTATTTTTTCAGTTTATATATGCTGAAGACGTACTGGTATGTATATTTCATTGAAGATAACAGAAAATAGGGGGGGAAAAATGATCTAAAGTTCTAAACCTAAATCCAAATCTTACACTCTTGATAAAAAATAAAAAAAATCTCCAATTTATACCAACCTTTCAACATGTTCTGATTCACCATCTCCATAACCATCACTGCCCAGTTTAGGCCACGTTTATTCCAGTGGTACTAGTCCATACATTTACAACCACTACCAAATTTTCTGGCCATAACTCCACGTGCAACGCCAACAGTTTTAAAACCCAGCACCACCACCATGAGCAGCCACCCATCCTGATGAAACCTACAACCACCACATTACTCAATATCAAAAATTTGTATGACTTTGTGCTGTGTAATTGACTGTTGAACAGATAAAGAATAAATTCAAAAAGGAAAAGGGAAATAGGGCATTGTGCTTCATATTTTGTAGATTCACTTGTGTATGGGGAATTTTTGTCAAAAATACATAGAAATTCCTCATTTATGGTAATACTTAATACCATATCAACCCAGATATAGCAGTATATTTTTTGGATTCCATTATCTTAGCCTTGCCTTTGCTTTGGTAGTTTAATCTATACTCTCTGAATTCACTACTATTATCATCGTCAGTTTTGTCCCCTTTTCCTTTATTTATTTTTATTTTTTATTATTGTGTGTGTGTTGCGGGGGGGGGGGGGGGGGGGGGGGGGGGGGGGGGGGGGGGGGGGGGTCGGGGTTTGTTTGGGGGGAAGGAAAGCAGTTGTGCTTTCATAGGAAGTGAGTGGTTGGACATTGAATTAAACAGGGGGGCCTGGAAGAGACGAAGCCATTATGGATTGAGTCTGGAAATTCTTCAGTGAGGCAGAATAAGCTGGTATGGACTGTACGGTTTCTTTCTGAATCTGGAAAATAGATATATTTCTAGTAGATGATTGGGGTTTGGTAAATCTTTGATTTAGTTTGTAAGTTCTAATTAGTTAATTACTTTTCTAAAACAGTATAAAGATGCAAAAAACTAATGATGCACTGTATAAGAATATGAAAATGAGAATAATATAGCATTTGATAATTTAAATTTTATATTGAAACATGGTGAGCGAATATCCTGTGTTGCAGTGTTAATTTTATTTTCTGCCTTTATGCTATTTTTTTTATGGGGGTAAATTACAATGACCTCCCCTGTAAATTGTCATAATAACAGGGACCTTTCCTCTAGTTTCAAAAATAACACTCACCTTCCCTATAGTTCTGGTCCAAGTAACACTGTCCTCCCCTCTCAAAATCTGTCAGTGTTTGTCTGCTAATGTCATGCTTGAAATTTACTAAAAACCCAATTTTGCCCTTAGAATGATTGAAAAGACATTTATGTCCATACGTTGTAATGGTAAATGGCTTAAAATCCCTCTACATAAAATAAGAAGGCAAAAGTGCCCTTTGGTCATTCTTCACAAAATCCCATCTCCCCCACCTATTTCACCTCATTTCAAACGCTCTATCTCGTTACCACCATTTCAAGCTTCATTACCACCAGTTCATCTCTCTCTCTCTCTCTCTCAATTTCTCTCTATATCTATCTATCTTATCTACCTCAAAGACTCAAATACTCACTCCTATTTTGTATTAGTAGTATTAAAACACTATGTTTGCATATATATATATCATAGAAGCGCTTCATATGTATGCTTTTGTTAACGCAAAGACCCTCCTCTATTTATAGCACGAGGTTCCAGAATCACGGTTTTTTTTTTTCCCCCACAAATTTTAGAGTAAAACCACAAGATATAAAATACCTGCATATAGATTTATGTCTATTTCTCTCTCTCTCGGCGCACACACACACACACACACACACACACACACACACATATATATGAAGAGAGAGAAAGTAGAGAGAGAGTGCTACTGCCTGCTGGACGCTTGGGTGAGTGGTGTATGGTGGGAAGACAGCCCACCAATGTGTACTTTTTTCTGCAAAATTACAAATGCTTTTAACAGTGATTTGGGCACCCCACTTTTTCACATTTCAGGCACCCCTAGTATTTATCGGACTCTATTTACCCCCTCATATACAGTACTGTTCATATGCACTATGCAGTGACTGGAGATTTTAGCCTTTTTACTAGGGTTACCCAAATTTTTTTATTATTTATCGTTGTAAATTGAAATTTTACAGTAATGTTTTACTTTCTAATATTTTGGGGAGGTTTCGCACAATAGTGAAGTCATCAGTAGCCCAACCGCAGTATCAAAGCTAAAGTAGAATGTGAGAGGGCAGTTTTGACTTTTAAATGTCAGGATTTTTATGAATAAATAATACATAAAAGTACATGGGCGTTATGGTCATTTCACAAGTTTTGTTAACCAACATCTCTGACAAGGGAGGTCAGTGTTATTTTGAAAACCATAGGGGAAGTCCCTGTTATTATGGGAATCTACAGGGGAGGTCAGTGTAATTTACCCAATTTTTTTGCTCACGCTATCTAAGAATTATGTCATATATCGCAAATGAAATATATGTTGTATCATATTACTTGTTTATACCGATTTGTAATGCTTATTTTATGTAGATCTTTCATAGCATACTGGATCATGAATCTGTACTGCATCCATTCAAAGATTAAGCAGACCTAATATTTCAGTCTTTATTGGCTTATCTACTTTTTTGGTGTTAATTAGTAAATCTACTTAATGTTCAGGATTTCCTGGAAAGTGCCGAAGCTTTTACTGATAATTCATCTATGCAATTGGAAAATTCATCAGGCAAACTTGACGAGCAGGTAATGAGCAAGTACACTCATTATCGCTTTTGGCTTTTTCTTTTCCCTTTCAATCGAGTAGTATTATACGTCATGTTTGAAGACTCGAGATGCATTTGAAACAACATTTTAAGTTTCTAATGGCATATACACAATATGGATGGCTTTTTCCATAAATTTGTAAGTGCATAAATTGTTTTACCTAGTATATGTTGCCCCGGTGGGCTGTGGGTAGGGGTAGGGGCAGGGGCGGAGCCAATTAAGGCCTACGGGGGGGCACGTTCTCCCCTTGGCCTGGCCCTGCCCAATAGAATATATATAGTTAATTTGATAATTGCGAGAGTGAAATTTAGAATAAAATTGTTCAAGATTGTGTTTGAGGTAAGCTCATGCCCTTAATCAAACGAGGAGGGAGTAGGCATAAATAAACTTCATTTGCTGTGTTGGTGCAACGAAAGCGCGCGAATAAGAAAGATCCAACTAAAGCCAATAAAGCAATCACACACAAACACAAGATATAGATGGTTCACCCAAACTCAGGGCTATGTCCATGGATGAGAAGAGATTCTACTATGATTCATAGAGATATTACAACAATAGAGTACCAACACTACGTACATGTCTTTTCATCATGTACCACTCCATGAGTCTATCTCCTCGCTTCCAGTGCCAATTGTGTTTTTTTTCTACTCTACCATTTCATAAACTACCTTTACCCATCAACTCCCTCATGAAACTACATCTCTCTCTACTCATAACCTAGGTACCTATTTATAGAGCTCCAAACCTGAGCCCAAGACTTGCTTGACAAGAAATTTCCAAACATTATACAAATCTAAAATAGAAATCTAATTAGAATAGGAATTTGAGACACAATTTCCAACAATCTCCACCTTGACTCAAATTCCACCAGCTTCCAACGGCATTCATCAGGACAATTCTTTTGCAGCTTCAATCTTGACGATCCTCCTGTAAAACTCCGATTGTCCACACTGTACATTGCTCGATCAATCAAACCTCTAAGGCTCCACCTTTACTACTCGAACTTCATGCCATGAACCCATCACGATTTTTTGGCATCATGACTAATCAAGCCGATTGACTCCACCTACAAGTGAAACTCGTTGAGACTCCTTGTGTTTTTTGGATCTCCTTCACCTTCGTCTCTGATACCAATTTGTTGGGGGCAGCGGAAGCGCGCGAACACAAGATATAACGTGGTTCGACCAAAACCAGTCTACGTCCACGGATGTGAAGAGATTCCAATATGATTCATCGAGATATTACAACAATAGAGTACCAACACCACGTACATTTCTTTTCATCATGTACCACTCCACGAGCCTATCTCCTCGCTACCAGTGCCACCAGTGTTTTTTCCTACTCTACCAATTCATCAACTCCCTCATGAGTTGGGCTGCAAACGAGCTGAGCCGAACCGAGTAGGGGCAGGTTCGAGCTCGGCTTGACTATATAGTAATGGTGATCGAACTCGGCTCGAGCTTGACTCGAGTTTCTACATGAGCGTCCGAGCTCGGCTTGACCATGATTGTAAAGGTTTTGAGCTCAGCTCAGTAGGTCGATTAAATAATAACCACGTCGATTGTGTGTACATTCATATATACACACACACACACACAAAATACAAACTGGAACAGAATACATAGTTTAATTTCTGAAATGAAAAACAGATTTCATAGTCACTCCCTCTCTGTGTATACATCAGATCTCATAAAATAATTGCCACACACACACACACACATATATATATATATATATCATAGTCACCCTCTCTGTGTGTATACATTATATATATACACACACATTCATACACATATATACACACACATTCATACACATATATACACACACATCCATACACATATATACACACATTCGTACCTGCTACAATAAATCAACACCATTCTCCACCCAAATCTGAAATTTGCTTCAATAATCACGAGGGAGTGACCATTCTTCTGATCTTTGCTTCAACAATCACGAGGGAGTGACCATGTATTTCGGGCATGATTGAGTGTGTCATCGTCGTTGGCGTTGAAGAGCAGGTTGCCGCAGTGCTCTGGCCAGAACGCCGCTTTCAATAGAGGTGATGATTAGGCTTAGGGTTGGGGATCGATATGGGTGGGAAATGGATATGGGTGAGATTACTGATGATTAGGGTTTATATATTTTTTTTGATAAGTGATGACTAAGGTTTATATGACGGGCTTGGGAATATGGGTTTGGGCTGATTTATTTTTAAAAGGCTTATGTTATGTTATTTGCATAGGTTGGGTTGGAATGGGTGGCCTGTTATATACATGTATATATATTTATATTCACGAGCTCAGTAACGAGCTTGTTGACGTACGTGTTCGTGAACAAACAAGCCAAGCTAGGGTATGTTTGAGCTCGGTTTGTTTATTAATCAAACGTATATTTTTTGTTCGGGCTCGGTTCGTTTGTTATATAAACGAATGCGAGCCGAGATTTTAACAAATCGTAGCTGCTGTTCGTTTGCAGCCCTACTCATGAGACTACATCTCTCTCAAAAGAACCAAGTATTTATGGCATTTCATTTTGGGATATACAAAAGGTGCAGCACATGGAAGAAATGATGCCATGGTTGAAAAGCTTGTCTTGTGTATTCAACTTATTACTTAATGGCTAACCATAGTACAAACCGAATCTGGGAAACGAAATGTCACTCTTATACCTTCTTCACTTTTCTCTTCCCTAGATTTTTCTGTTTTCCTTCTGAACATGATGTAAGGGCTTTTGTTTTGTTTTGTTGATCACTCTGGTAAGTATTCGGGTTGACATCCCACTTCTTACAGTTGAAATGGTTATAGTATTTTTAATTTTTGAAACTTCTATTGGCATAAATATATGTTATTTTGAATTTCAATCTTGTCTTTAGCCTGGTGTCTGCACTTGCAGGAAACTCTAGATGAGCTTGCCAATGTGTCTGGGACAGAGTTTGAGATCCCTACAAACTTTGATGAGCAGGTATTGATATTTTAGTAATGCGTACGCCAACCTTCTAGCGATTTAGCATTTGCGCCATTTGGGTTTGAAGCTGTTAAGTCGCCTCGTCTTCATGGATATCAACACACAGGTTGACATTGATTCCCACTTGGGGACTGACTGGTCGGGGACTCGAGACAATGTCATCCATGATTTTTGAACTCTTTTGGGTGCATCGTCCTCTCTGGTCTGGACAAGGATGCTGTCGCGGTTTCTGCAAATATGAGTTGGTTTTTGTTTATAGGAATTGATAGATCGTTCAAGCATTTAGTGGCTCAACAGTCTCTTAGTATCTTGATAAGCATTGGGCTTTCTTTTCGTCTTGAATTTTCTTCTTTATTACTCATTAAGCCGATGGATTTTTTTTAGTATCTTTGGTTGAGTAGACCTTTGATGTCACTGTGCCTGTCTAGCTAACTTTTTCCGAGGATGTGAAATGTAAAAATGGGTGAATGGTTCCTTTCTCTGCTCAGAATCATTTGGTGATATAACCTCTGTCATTGATTTTATTAATATTTTTGGGTGGTTCTTTTCCTTAATTATCAGCATATTAAACTTTTTGAAAAATAACCAACACTCTGTTAGTTAGAATCCATTAGAATACTCAACATAGTTAAGAATTTTATCAGCATATTAATTCATGAACTATACAACACAGACTTTCTTCTTTTCCTCTTAGTTTCCTGGAACAAAGTTTGTAGCAAAGGGCCAGGCATTGTTGTTGACTGGGTCTGCAAGGTGGTCTGCGAGGTTTTCTAATGGCCCTTTTCCGGTCACAATTGCCTGAACGAAGAACCCAAACATAGAAAACATGGCAAAGTCTGCCATTCTTGATCTCCTTTACTTTAAGCTCAGCAAAAGCTTCCGGATCATCAGCAAGGCCCAATGGGTCAAAGCTTCCATCGGATCGGTCACCTCACCGAGCGGCCCACCGGCAATGCGGTAGCCCTCAATGGCGCCCATCAAGATGACTTGTGTAGCCCAGATGGCCAGAATGCTTTGGGCATGAATCAAGCTAGGGTTGCCCAAGTAGTTAAGTCCACCCTCGCTAAAGATTTGAGCTCTGGCCTTGAACCACACAGCCTCACCGAGCTTGACACCATTACAGGCCAAGAGCTCCAGGAATACACACCCGAGAGCTCTGAGCATGGCCATCTGCAGTGGATCACCTCGAGTTTACGGTTCTTGGCCAACGTTTACGGGGCAGCCGATAGCCCAGCAGTGTTCCAACCATAGTCATCCGAGAATTCACCTATGAGGTAGGATGGGGGCTCGCCCGAGAATGGGCCCAAGTTCTTGACTCGGTCTGGGCTGTACCACGGCTGCCGGATGAGACGGGCTTGGTTTGGTTACGGCCTTCCTAATACAACAAAATGCAAGTGAAGCCTTTCAAAACGTATGGTGGTTTACAAAAAGAGTTACAGTTGTTTAAGTGAAGCCTGGTCATGAACCTCCTAAACAGAAATTGCCTACTTGTGGGAAATCCACTCCATTAACAAACAAGACCTTCTGGTATATATTAATCACCTTGAATGCTGATCATTTAACATTAGCTTTCACACTTGGGGATTGGATAATAACTCAGTTTATAACTGTTGATGCGAAAATCCTCGCAACCCGGAACGACGGCATTTACCTGCAAAACGCCGGGATGTCACCTCGAATGGCACCGGTAGGGTGTCGGCCGAGGGCCCTCCGAAGATCAAATTAGTACTTTTTTTTTTCCTAGTTGGTCACACACACGTCTCTTCTAAGACTAACCTCTAACCTCCCTTTGAGAAGTAAGAGGCTACTGGCCTGTTAGTTAGTATTTGTAATTGTATAGCAAAATAATTAAATCTGTATTGAATACTCGGGTATCTTTTTCTCATATCTGATTTAATGGCTCGATGCCTTATTTATGGCAGTCCATTGAAATCAAGATCGTTCCGCACATGTCGATGGTTGAGATCTCCCTCATCATCAGTAACGGAATCTGTTGAGGTGTATAGTTGGTTGTGATATTGGGATATACCTTATCCTCTTTGTAAGTTGAATAACAATATCCCTATATCCTCAAGTTGGAGAGGAATGGCGGCGAGTCAACCCTAACGTTATTTTTCCCTTGTCAATTACCTTTTCGTTCACTTGGATCTTTGGATTCAGGTCATGACAAAAAATTTATGTCATTTTATTACTTTTTGTAATTAAAATTCATTTTTTTCAATTTAATTGTTTGATCAGATGTCCATCTCATGTACTTTATTTATATACACATTGTATAATATAAATAATATAATAATGGTATGTATAATATATAATATCAACAAACATATAAAATTACCAACATGTCAGTGGTCTAATGGTTATATCAACAAACATATACTCACTCACGCCTCCCGTGCGTGAGTATTAATTAAGAAAAAATCACAAAAAATATAAGTCTATTTTTATGTTTTTTTTTTTTTTTAACTACAAAACGCTACAAGTCTTAGGGGATTAAATGCGGTTTACCCTTTATTTATTCCAGGCACAACCATTCCACCATCAAATTTTTGTAATCAATTTAATTGGTTAATTTGGGAGGTGAAGGGTTAGTTGTTTGAAAGTTGTTTGAAAGATTTTAAATTGTAGTGAGAGAATAACCTAATTGAATAACACATTTCAAGAACATTAAGATCCATTTTGAATTTTATAGAGAATATGATATAAGAAGTCATCTCGCCGGAGATCTTGTTAGGGTTACGGCTGTAGAATTATTGCCTGAGACAGTTGAGGACGCTCTGGTGTCACCGGAGATGGTTGAGATAGGCACCACTATGGCCAAGAACAGTTGCAACAGTGGCCTCACCATGAGAAGGCTTGGAGAAGGTGGACTATGTTAAGAGGGGAATTCCATGGAAATTGCAGATATTTCTTCAGAAAAACAAAATAAAATTACATAAATAAAATATTGAAGCGTTCTTTTCAAACTAGGAACCATGAATAAATAAATAGATATAGGAACATACAAGCATATTTAGTTAGGTTGAAGGTAATATTGTGGTAATTGGCTCAACGAACATTTCGATTGTATCCATGCCCAACGAATTGAAAGCACTCGTACAATCCTGCAAGTCCTTCTCGCAGGCTATTAAAACCTGATCACCTTCATCATCAGTATATTTGATCTTAAAACTTTCAACATTTAACTTCAACCTTTTGGAGACACTCTCTTTCAACTCCACCAGTGTTGATGAAAAAGGTAGTAGAAATTTTATAAAATCTTTTCCATATGTTGCCTTTATAATTATGTCCCTTACTTCTGATGGTGTTGTTACAAGTGGAGTAATGTGAGCAGCACTGGCAACAAATTTCGAACATGGAGGGTCTCGTCTAGAGGAAGGGGAAGAACCGCTGACCTTATTTCTCTTCACCGGTGGCCCTCTGGAGATTCCATTCTTTCTAGATGGACGCTTAAATGTAGATTTGCTCACTGCAAAAATAAGAATTCAATAACAAAGGCTTATATAGTTTGTAAGTTTCTACAAGAAGAAACACAGAAGTTGAAAATAGAGCAAAATTACAAGCAATTATTTCAATTAGTGTGTGAGCTTACCATCAAACTTTTGTGGGACATCTTCAAGTTTCTTTCCAAAAAATTTTCCGATGTCCTTATCGGTAAAGGCATCCACCTCCTCTAAATGTGGCTGCATCGTCTCTTGTCCATTATGTAAGACTCCAGTTTCAAGCGGAGATCTAGTACTTTGGCATTGAGAAACAGGTTCCTTATTCATGTGATCCTCTGAACAAGAAAGAGGAATGTGATTTTGATCTCCAATGACAACATCCCCTCCATTGTTTCTATCATCAACTTCACGTCTTAATTGCTGATTTGATGAATGTGTCTGCATCGTCTCTCGTCCATTATCATGCCCGGGTGGAGATCCAGTACTTTGGCATTGAGAAGTAGGTTCCTGATTCATAAGACCCTCAATTGAACAAGAACAAGGAATGTTATTTTGCTCTACATAAACATCATTCCTTCGATTATTTATATCATCAACTTCAACTTCATTTGATGAATGTGGAAAAGAACCAAGTTCCTGAGGCATACCAGATTCAATAATTTCAACTTCATCTGACCAAGAATCCGCCTCCTCATCAAAAAAAGAAACCGGAGTGTTATTTCCTTCTGCATTAACAACATTCCTTCCATTGTTTCTATCATCAACATTAACTATTAGTTGCTCATTTGATGAATGCGGAAAAGAACCAGGTTCCTGATGCATGCCAAGTTCAATAACTCCAACTTCATAAAACCAAGAACCTGCCTCGTCTGAACGAGAAACATGAGTGGTATTTCCTTCTGCATTAACAACATTCCTTCCATAGTTGATATCATCAACTTCAACTCTTGCTTGCTGATTTGATGAATGTGGCTGCATCGTCTCTCGTCCATTATCAGGCCCAGGTGGAGATCCAGTACTTTGGCGTTGAGAAGTAGGTTCCTGATTCATGCGAGCCTCAACTGAACAAGAAAAAGGAATGTTATTTTGCTCTACATAAACAACATTCCTTCCATTGTTTATATCATCAACTTCAACTTGATTTGATGAATGTGGAAAAGAACCAAGTTCCTGATGCATACCAGGTTCAATAATTTCAACTTCATCTGACCAAGAATCTGCCTCATCAAAAATAGAAACGGAAGTTGTGTTTCCTTCTGCATTAACAACATTCCTTCCATTGTTTACATCATCAACCTTAACTATTAGTTGCTCATTTGATGAATGTGGAAAAGAACCAGGTTCCTGATGGATGCCAAGTTCAATAACTCCAACTTTATCGGACCAAGAACCTGCCATATCTGAACAAGAAACATGATTGTTATTTCCTTCTGCATTAACAACATTCCTTCCATAGTTGATATCATCAACTTCAACTATTAGTTGTTGATGTGATGAATGTGGTTGTGTCTCTTGACCATTATTGAATACCCCAGGCTCATATGGAGATCTAGTACTTTGGCAATGAAAAGAAGCAGGGACCTGATTCATGCGAGGTTTAATAAATTCAATGAATAATTCCTTCCCGAGTTCCTCTCCAGAAGCTAGCTTACAGCTTTGGAAATTTTGCTTCATTGTTTCTAATAACGAGAACAAGAAGAAACTTGGGTCTTCACCATATGTGTTTTCAGTATTCAGAAAGAACTCTAGAATGAAATCAACTTTTCCTGTGTAAATACTCTGCAAGCAAATTGCGAAACAGCCGGTTAAACCAAAATGGCGTGCACCGGGTCGTAAGGGGTATTCAGTTAGGCTGAGTCGAGTTATATCTCTGCAGAAGCATGATTTACGTGACAAATATGCCCTCCCAACAACCCCCTGCCCCTTTCGGAAGTCATTTCGCATACTACACCATAAGAATCCTGCCAGAAGATTATCGTCATCTCGAACATAGGATGCTGACCTTTGAAGGTGCAAGCCTTGTCCCATATCATGCCTGCACGGAACCCACATCTGAGCCAAAGGTAACCTGTGAGTTCTGCACACCACTTTCAACCCTTCGCATATTTCATTCAGTGTATCTCCGTAACCTTCATAGGAAATCTGGATTGCAAGTGTTGTGTAGTTAGACATTTGTTGATGAGAACAGTACTGAGAACAAATAAATAAACAAAAAAGAGCACCATATATCACATTTGCATATTACGGCTGTGACTTACCCTAGAAATTAAACAACGACACAGAGAACTTTTCAAATCTGCATGCTGCAAGAGAAAAGTGAATAATTTTGTAAGGTTCAAATTAATGAAAAGGCAAAATCATATCTCCAAATATTATGCATTCATTTCTCAGCTCCTCAGCAAATTAATTTGAAGAATATTACAAATTAGGGGACAAACCTTGAGCAGAAGCTGCAAAAACGAATAACACATAGTGTTTAAGGTTCTGAAATGTGTATTAGTTACAAACTCAAGTACTCCAACACAGTTCTGGGAAGAGGTTTGAAATACTGGGAAAGCAAAAGAAGCCAATATATTGCAAGTTAGAGCAAGATTGAGCTGTGGGTACTCTTCGCTAGAGTAATACCGCACATTTGGAATACACTCGTGCAATTTTTGCCGGAATACACGTCCAGAGATTCCAAGGTGTTGTTCCCCATCCACATTCAACTTATATTTCAAACAATGCTTCCTATACTCGAGTAGTCCTTCATCAAGATGAGTAAGACCAAAAGGTTGGTCCGAAGTTACAAGCAAACACCCTGCTTCTGTTGTGATGGGTGCCCAAAACTGAATTAGAACATGATCCAGAAATTTCAGATTAGTATCATGGAAGTAGTGTAGAAGCGCGTATTTGATCTTCTCTGTAATGATCCATTGATTGGTGGTGGGGATGTGAGTTACCAAATCCGTAATACCACCACCTACACATTGAAAATTTCCATGTCAAATAAATGAATTCTAGCAAATGGAAGAACTTAATGGTCTAGCAATTGAATTTCTTATCTTTTCATTTTTTTTTTTTATTTATTTATTTTTCTTCGGTGAATGGTAAGCTGCCATTCAATTGAAAATTAATTTCCAAAAATAGATTTTATGCAGATTCTAACAAACTGATCATGTGAGTGGATCAAGTGTAGTACAGCAGCGCAAGTGCTGTATTGAATCTGAGGGTTCACAATCCTTTGAATATATACAAAATGTTTGTATTACAACAACAATGGCTTCAATATTTCCGCAGATGCCCCAAATTATGTAATCCCTGACAATATATAAAAACCATACTCACGCAAGGGTAATGTAGTTTCCACAGATGCCACAAATTATGTAATCCTGATAATATATAAAAACCATAATCACGGTAAGGATAATATTAGCATAATCGCTGCGGAAATATTTCCATAAATGTTATAAATCCCTTATTTCAAAAATAAGGGATTTTGAGTTATGAACTCAGCAATCATTATCAATATAGCATATTCGCCGAGTTTAGAACTCAAAAAGGTCAAATGTGTTTTTTCAGTTGGGATTTTGAGTTCTGAACTCAGCAATGGCTTCAAAGGATAATATATGCTGCAATATATGCTCTATGAGATTTAATGTTTTGGGTAGTTTGTCAAAGTTACAACCACCGAAACGTAATAAAACAGTGTATATATATGATTTATACGTGCAACCCCACATAAAGCTGAGGACATAAAAGGGCTGCTTCATGGAAAATCACTTCTCGCTTGCTCTACATATATATATATATATATATATATATATATATATATATATAAAATAATTACATAATCATAAAACATAAAACATATCCATAAATCTTACACATAAAAGGTCTGCTTCATGGAAAACACCTCACTTTCTCCACACACAAACACAGACAGACAGATATCTATATATATATATATATATATAATGGTTCACTTGTTAGAGCAAAGTGTGGATTCTATTTTCAAGCTATTCTATTCTCTCTCTTCTCTCCTGCTAGCAGACTAATCAGTTCTCTGCATTGATCAAGAAAATGAACTGTGTCTATATACACACTATAAACATTTAAAGTATGTAAAAACGTCTCATGTAACAAGCAATAGTGTTCTTTAGTATCTTAGGATATAACATTAGTTTTGAAGAAATGTGCAGCAGTGTTGTTTAGCATATGGATCACGAAACATGGATCTAAAAGGGTAATTAATATGTGTATACTTGCTTTAACCCCCAAATTTTTTATTTTTATTTTTTATTTATTTATTATTTTTTTTTTATAAAGTGTAAATATATGAGATATATATATATATATATATCATGGAAAATCAGGTTAATGAATCATAATAGAGATGGAAAATCAGGTTGGTATTACCATACAAATGGTGCATATAATTTTGATAACCAACAGATGAATCTTATTTAGGATTCTTCTCTGTTTAACAGAAAATAGATGCACTAGATTAGTATGACAAAACTAATTACAGTAGTTGGGTATTTGTTTATGCAAAATATAGCATTTAAACCTAATTTTGGTTTAGAATTTATTTCACAAAAAAATAATCTGATAATGTAATACATAGATTTAAAGAATTTACAACAATTTTACACATAAAAATGTACAAGAACAACACTGTATGAAAGATAATAGTGACCAGACACACACACACATATATATAAACATCTAATTAGGCCAAAAGATTTTCCGATTTTGAATTTCTTTTCTTTTCCGTGATTAATGGTAAGCTGCTATTGAATTAAATATAATGTTTGTGTTAATAAGGAAATTTTAACAAGAAATGAAGCACTGAGAAATTAAGAGAGAGAGAGAGAAGCTGCTTACTACAAGGAGAGAGAGTCGTCGGGTCACACCCAAATGCCCACAATGGGTTTTTCGGCGTCCGGCGCCGGACAGACACTGCAGTCGGCATGTGTTTGATGAAATTGTTGAGCTTGTTTTCTTCATCATGTTCCAAAAGATGACATGCCATCTCCGCCATTTTCGATTAGCTTCCTGGTTAAGAAAATTAAGACCTGTCCAACACATCGATATATATACTATATATATATGTGTGTGTGTGTGTGTGCACACTATAAAGTTATTAACGAAATGAACAATTTTCCACAGGTTTAAAAAAGATTCTCGTCAACTAGGAAGGGGTTAAGAAGGTTCACCGTCTCTCTCGCCACGTTGTCAAAAGACTGTTCTCTAGTAGCAAGGGGTTCATCAAACGGTTTTTTTTTTTTTAAAAAAAAAAAAAAAAAAAACGAGGAAGAAGTTGTAACGCGTAAACACTACGTCAAAAAAAAGTTTGAAACCCGCGTCTTTTCAAGATGGAAAATACCCGGTACCTCCCAATGAAAATGCTTCATTTCTCGGATATTACTAGGCGGGGTATTTGGTATTTGGATTTAGAATGGATTGTATCCGTGGAATACTCGATTCTTATTTTATTTATATATATTATTTTCTTTGATCACAAATATGGTCTCGGGATTTGGGGCGTGACACGTTTAATTTTAGCAAAAACACTTGATTTAGGATCTGTTTGGTATGTATTTTGTTTTAAGCGTTTTGTTTTTGACTAAAACATAAATAGAGTTTTTGGTGTAAGAGTGTTTTGAAAAAAAAATCGAAAACATGTTTAGGAATAATGTTTTGCTGTGAAAATGTTAAAAATAGAAACATACAAAATATGTTTGGTAAGTCTATATGTTTCAAGAATTTTAAAAACAAAACATATTTTTATATATATATTTTTCTATTATCACAAATATCTTGAGACTTGAGGCGTGACACGTTTAGTTTTAGCAAAAAAACACTTTTTGGTGAAGAGAGAATTGGTGAAGGAGTCCGTATAGTATGGTCATCTCCGAGAATGGATAGTGATGGGAGAGAGGCTGTGTCTCCCAACTCAGGTAAGGGTCTGATTAGAGAGTAATGAAAATTTCAATTACCATCAATAATGTAATCACTAACAGTTGATTTCTCACCATTATGAAAATCGCAGAGGACTGATTAATCCAAGATACAAGAGGGCTCAAACTTATCAGTCATCAAACCAAAAGGATGTGAGGGTGCCATTGCCTATGCAGTGTTTGTTGAAAGGCCTAGCCAAAGGTCGGAAACAGATACATGCAAAACATGTTTGGTAGAGGTCTATATGTTTCAAGAATTTTAAAAATAAAACATATTTTTATAATATTTTCAAAAATGTTGAAAACAAAACATGTTTCAAAAATGTTGTTAACAAGCCCCAAAGTCTCACAATGGAGAATCCTTCATTCTTTCCAATTTACAAATTTTTACCACCTATTCAATGTTGAAGAATTTTTCATCCAAACAACTTTTTGGTAAATTATAATAACAATAATTTTTTTTTTTTTTTTTTTTTCGTCGGTGAAGAATTTGTCCAATTCTTTTAAGTGATTATGACTGTTTTGCCCATACGGGCACCAAAAAATGCATTTTCGGGGTTCCATCATAAGGTTTTTGGATGCTTCAGAGGCATTGGCGGAGTCCATTTGCAGGAAAAATGCTTTAATCAACATGTTGTAGTGTGAAATTACTATTTTACCATTTTTTTTTTGAATTAGGGTGATCGGATGCTACGCACTTATGATCGTAGCGAACTTTAGGTGCTTTTTTAGGTTTTGGGGAGCCCAGAGAAAGATAAAGGTGTTGGATTTTGTCAGAGACCAACCGGAAAGGGTGAAAAATGCGGTGTCTACAAATAAAAAAAATATAAAACAAAAACAAAAATAAATAAATAAAATAAAATAAGGGCAGTTTTAAAATTTTTTTTTTTAAAATCCCAAAAAAAATAGTTATTTATTATTTATTTATTTTATTTTTCTCTTGTTTTTTAATTTTTTTTTTACTTTTATGTTTTATATTTTATTTTTTTATATATTAAAAAATATCTAAAATTTACTTAAGGGTATTTTGGGATTTTTATAATAAAAAAATTTGATCAAATTGATGACCAGACGCAATTTGCTCTAAATTTTTAAAATACAAGGATTTATATGTACATAATAAATAATAGGAGTTTTTCTTGCATAATTTCTATTTTTAAAATACAGGAATTTTTTTGCATTTTATCCTAAAAAAATATTAAAAATTATATTTTTAAAAAATTAGGTTCTCAAAAAGGGATTCTTTTTGTGGATTGTGGGAATATTTAAGTGTCATTTTTGGAGAATCAAAGAAACAAAAAAAACAAAAAAATCATTCACGATGATTAATATAGTCCATGCATGCTTTTAAAAAACAAGACTTGAAAATTTTAATTTTTTCATAACCCAAAACAAGATGAAAGAATTAAGCATAAAAAAATTGGTGTGGGTCTCTCAGACTCTCACCTAATTATTCACTTGTCAAAAATAATTTAAAGACGTGATTATTCACTTGTCAAAAATAATTTAAAGTTGACCAATAATCAATATTTTTTTTTATGACACGTTTCAAGTAATTTCTTCCTAAATTGGTGCAAATTAATGCTCATAGTATATTCAGTATGGTTCCAATTCAATCTTCAACTCCAAACTTGATTCTTGTAATTTAGTAAATCTTTTTTTGTTTTTCCTATGAATAGTTAACTTATATACGCTAAGTAGAATAAATAGGCAACATTTTCTTTGACAATATATAAATATATATATCATTTCCTAAAACAAAGAAGAAAAAAAAAGGCAATTTTTTATTACAAGAGAACAATTTGCTAGCACCATTTTTTTCAAAACCATAATCACAACTTTCCAATCCTCTGTATATATATATATATATATATTTATATATACATTTTTCAACCATTAACCACAACTTTCTTTACAAACCTATATATACATATATATATATATATATCCTCATTTTTAACCATAGCAAACAATATGAAGACAACCCAAGGGCGAAAGAAGATTGAAATAAAAAAGATAGAGCAACTGAACAATCGTCAAGTAACCTTCTCCAAGCGCCGAGGCGGACTCTTCAAGAAAGCCAGCGAGATTTGCATCTTGAGCGGTGCAGAAGTCGCCGTCATCGTGTCCTCGCCAGGTGGTCGCGTGTTCTCCTTCGGGCACGAAAGCGTCGACGCCGTCATCAACAAGTATGTCCATGGTGGTTCACCCTTCTCCTCTAAACAGCCCGCCAAAACTCATCACCCTCCTCCCATGATGAAGCATGATGAGTTCAATAACAAGTACAATGAGATTTCGAAGGGGTTGGAGGCGGAGAAGAAAAGAAGTGTGATGATTGAGGAGGCGAAGAGTGCCGGCAACGGTGGTGGGTTCTGGTGGGATAGGGCGGTTGATGATAGCATGGGTTTGGAGGAGATGGAGCAGTACATGGCGGCGTTGGAAGAGTTGAAGAGGAAGGTGGACATTAGAGCTGATGAAATGATGATGATGAAAGCTTCTTCTACCATTCCCTTTACATCCATGCTTGCAACGGATGAAGCTGATCATTCCATTGGGTTGGGCCTAGACTACGGGTATCCGGAGATTTGTCCCGACTAATTCAAGTGCGGAATGAGTTTTAATTAATTAGTATAATAAAAATAATAATTAATAGACATTGGAAAGAATATCACACTATATGTGACCCTTACCAATGATTCTGTTTGGTTTTCTTTACTTTGGCATTATTTATTCCATCCACTCTTGTTACATGTATGATCAAATGTCTTTGTTTCTTTCATTTCTTCTTGTTACAAATCAATATCTTCGGTTTAGACTGAATGTGATGGTTGATTATGTTTTTTTAGTATGAATAATAATTTAGAGTCTCAAGTAAAGATAATTCTAAGCAATTTATGTGGTGTGATGATTTCAGCATCTAACATAAAATTATTCTGTCAAAGTCTCTTTCAGTAATTTTTATTTAATTTTTAATTTTTTTTGTAATTAAGGACATAAAATTATTCCGTCAAAGTCTGCTCCTATCATTAGTCTTTTAGTATTTTTTTATTTAATTTTTAATTTTTTTTTGAAGGGTACTCCAATAAAATAAAGTTGTTCACAAAGAATACTTCTCAATCAATGGGTATAAAATCATGGACAAGACTTGTATACTTATCAGTGAGTAGGTCATATCTATTCGGTTGATGTGTCCACTCAGGCGCTAAATGGGGGAGGTGATTGAATTTATTTAAAAAAAAAAAAAAAAAATTGTACTTATCACTTTTTTAATTTTATAATTACAGATTATTTGTACCTTAATAACTAAAACATATCACGGGTGGGTGAGTACGCAAATCTTTTCCATTCATTACTCCTTTAATGTTAGAGGACAAACTTCATTTCCTAAGATCAAGCTCCTGTGATGGAGGAGCAATCAAGGAGCAACAAAAGCCTAAGATCTTGGCAATAGATGATCTGTGAGCTGAACAATAAGGCAAACATTACGCAAGCATGATGGAATAATCATATCACTACTGAATAATCTAATCGAATAATTTTTGATTGATTATTTATGCTCAATACAAATAAGTGGAGGAATTCACTCCCTTATTTGTTGCATAAATAACGAATTAAAGATGATAGGTTTAACCATTCATTATCATTAATCATGCAAAAATCATCTTCCAAATTAAAAATAAAAAGTCGTCTTTTAATATCATGATATGTAATATATTAACACTAAATAATATTTATTTGAAAAATTATCCTTCTTATTTTTAGGTTCATTACTAATTATGGAACCAAACCAAATTAATCATTTTATCCATGTTAAATACTAGCTAGATAGAAAACGAGTTTGCCGAAGAAGTAATGAATTGGAAAAGCAATTTCAGGCATCATTTGAATTTTTTTTTTTATCATCAATAAATTATCTAGAAGATAAAAACACCCATAAAGGAAGTTTAAGGAAAACTACCATGTAATTTTGGATCCAAAATTATCAAAATATTAACTTAAAAGGTTTACTTTGAACTTTCAAAAAACAAAAAATTTTTAAAAAGGTTCAATTTGAGAATTACCATAATCACGGTTCAAGTTTGCCAAATTGAATTGAAAAAGCAATTCCAAACATTATTTGAATTTTTGTATTATGAAATAAATAATCTAGATTTTGAGTCTTTGACGCCATCTTTTTGACAACTTTTTCAATATATATATATATATATACATACTAGTAGTTTCCTTATTAAAAGATTGAGAAAAATACCTATATTTTTTTGTTTGGTAAGTGAGAAAATTTTCTATATATGTATATTAAAGCACCAATTTTTTTTCAGAACCATAACGTACCATTTACAACTTTCTTCACAAAATCCTCATAACAAACAACATGAAGAAGACAACCCAAGGCCGAAAGAAGATTGAAATCGAAAAAACAGAGCAAGTGAACAACCGCCAAGTCACCATCTCCAAACGCCGAGCCGGTCTCTTCAAGAAAGCCGGCGAGCTTTGCACCTTCAGTGGCGCAGAAGCTGCCGTGTCCTCACCGCCGCCACCGGGTGGTCACGCGTTCTCTTCCCGCCACGAAAGCGTCGTCCACGACGCTGTCATGGTCGACAAGCACGTCTGCGGTTCATCAAGTCTCCCTTCCATGCAGTATGACCAGATTTCCAAGGGAATAGAGGCCGAGAAGAGAAGGAGCGTGATGAATGAAGAAGGAAATAGAGTGGGTGGCGGGTTGTGGTGGGACCCACCAGTCGATGATGATATGAGTGATGATCGGGTCGAGCAGTACATGACTGCATTGACTACATTGGACGAGCTGAAGAAGAAGTTGGACATAAAAGCGAATGAAATAACGATGATGAAGGCTTCTTATACCAATGCAATCAATCATCATATTGAGATCATCAAACTGTGTACTATTGTAATCATAGGGTTAGTCATAGTTTTGATTTTGGTGGTGGGCAGTTTTGTGAGGTGTTTTTAATTAGCTAATCAATAATAATAATAATTCATAGACTTGTGAGTTTTTATTTATTTAATTATTTTTTTTTATGAAGCTGATTAAATTTGATTGTCTCTTTTAATAGTGTTTATATTGAATGTGATGGTTATGTTAATATATATATATATATATATATATATATATATATATTATACTTCTAGTATTGGTGGACAAACTTTAGTTGAGTATGGCTTGATTTAGATGAGTGTGGTAGTCATTGTTGATCCAAGTTTTTAGGCAAGTCCAATATGTAAAACCGATTCAAATCCAAACCATTTTTAAGGTTCTCTAAAACTGTGTTACGAGTTTTTAAGAACAGACCAAACAGATTTGATATTCGAACATTTTCTTCTCTCATTGTTTTGTGAATATATATATATATATATATATATATATATATATATATATATATTTAATCACCCTGGTAAAAGCATTAGTATCTACTAAATCAGTATCAATTACACTAGAAATTTCACCAAACATGTTATTGGATCGCATGTTATTTGTGATGTTATAAGTAACTGATAATTGCTTTGCTTTTGGGTTGGGCTGTTTGGTTTTTGGACTGGAGTTGACCTCCATTTCAATATTTTTTTTTTTTTTTTTTTTTGACCTAATATACTTGACATAAATCACCAATCGACATTTTGCATTTAAAATTAAAAAAAATTAATACACAATTCAAATTAAATTTTTAAAATTAAAAAAAAAAAAATTTATTAACAATTCAAATTAAATTTCCTCCTACTCCAATACTCCCAAAACATAACATTCTTGTATTGCTAATTCAGCTCAATGCCATGTTAATAGTACATTCCAAGGATCCCTAAAATTTGATATTATATATATATATATATATATATATAGATCCTTGATATGTATGAGCACAAAACTCAGGGTCATGTTACCAATGCCACCACAAACAAACATCATTTATTGGCCGAAGACAAGGGTAAACCGTACTGCATAAAAATTATTCACTGATACTAGTGGATAACCAATGAAACACTATAATCACTTTAAGGTTCAATTACAGAGCTTCCCAAAATATATGGTTACTATACACTACTCTTCACCACAAGACTAATCTAGAAGTAACACAGTAATTAATTAAAAAAATTAAATCACTCTAAGCAACCAAATATAATTGCTTTTTTTACTCGAGTTAAATGCATTAAAAAAAAAATGCTGGCCTATTATAATAGAGGGAATTAACTGCTCCTGTTATTCTGATAGGAGCATTGTAACACAATGCATTTATAACCAACCATATATAACAAGGAACAAAAGGGAATTTATAAGTGGGGTCAAAGCAGATCTTAAAAAATAGCTACCGATATTGTGTGAGAATGTCGGATAGTGAGTAACCACAAGAATACGATCGCATGCATTCTTTCAAATTGTTTACTGATCAAAAACCGTAGGATAGAAAATTGAACCGCCATTACGTCCACTTCCATTCCCGTTCGAATCTGCATTAGCATAGAACGGTGACTGTAGTTCCCCGGAATGAGATGACGTACGGGAGGTCGGGTTCCTAGGAGAAGCTGTGTAGGATTCAGTTGAACCATTGCTCATGGAATATAAAGATGACGATGGAAGCCCGTGGATCTTTGGCAAGCCCGTTGGATAACCCCGCTCAACCGTATCTGCATCAAGTGGTATTTCATCCAATGTCTACAAGAGGAGCAATCAGTCAAAACCGGCTAGAATTTTAATGATGCGTTTAGGCATTAGATGCTGCAAACTTTTGGCGAAGCACCAGCCTAGGAAATTTTGAAAACTAAAATTATACTTTTATTAAACTTTAATAATTAAGAATAAAATTCCATGAGAAGAGTAACAGTCCGTGGAAAATGCAGAAAGCCAACCCCAAAATAAAATAAAAAAGATATGTATACATCCGTGTATATTTCTCTATACATACACGCACGCGCGCACACACACATCTATATATATATATATATATATATGGGTGTGTATTTTCCATTTGAAGCTAGGAAAGAAGCCTGAAATGTAATAATTAAAAGAAAATATCTCTTTTATATCTCTGAACTCCATAACCAGTTTAGCTGATTAAAACAAGCCAGTAACCATGAGTGAATACTGGGCAAGTTGTTCATCCAGTTTTCCCACACCCACTACTTCATGGGGAAAGTAGCAGCACCAACAGAAAATATGCTAACCCGGCCAATATATCGTCGGCACAAAAATGGACAAGAAATTTTCTAGAGGATGTAAAAGTAATACAAAAGAACTCACACTGGACGCCTGTTGAAGAACATGAAGTGTGTCTCGGGTACGCTTTCTCTTCGTTGCCACCTCATCAGGTTCCTGCAACATCTCTTCGAATAGGTTGTCTCTGTTTTGGATCACAAGATGGGAAAAAATAAAACATCATAATCGTTTCACAAACCAAATATTTAGCAAAAGCTGAATAGTTGACTTGAGCAGCTCCAATGCTCGATAGTCCAAACAAAAGAAGACGAGTCCAATCTGATATTTAAAGGGAAAAGAAATGTGTAAAACAAATGGTATCTGAGCAATCACAACGCTTTATTACCTGTAAAGCTTTCTAATGAAGACATTATGCAGCTCTCGTTTTGTGTGGTTTACCTGGTAATGAATCAAAAAGATTGAACAAAAAGGTCATCAGAATTCACGACATACCAAGTGACTCAGAATACGGCCTCCAGATGTTGCACACTAAGAAGAGCATAAAAAAAGAAGGTAGATTAGATTGGCCATATTTTATGGATATTACAAAACTTTTAAGTTAATGAAGAAGAATAAGCCCAGGGAAGCTAGAAATTCTTATATTTATTTGGTTTTTTTTTTTTTTTTTTTTTTTTTAAATAAAGGGTTGCAGTAGCTTGCATTAATTGGTTTCAAGTTTCTAAACCCGATGGGTCAGGGACGGATTTGAGTGGGGCTTAGTAGGGGAGCTGTGGCCCTACTAATTGTTCGGTCTTAAGGTGGTGAGTCAAGTTTGCAACTTGCAGTAGATTGGTGATCTTTCTTATAGAAGGTTGGAAACCAAAAGAACAAGGAGTACACATACATACATGCATGCATAGATACATATATATATGGATGAGAACAAATCAAATGATTTGACATAAACTTCAGAGTCAGTTGTCTACTTGACACCAACACGCCTGCCTTTCACATCCGGCCTTGGGCAATGGGAGTGTGAAAAAAAAAAAAAAACTATGTTTATGTTTTCTGAATACTGTTTACCCTATAATAACCAAAACTTCCCAAAATTAGAAAGACTAGACTTGGATGGTTTGGACACAAAACAGAAATCTACAGATGTGTCAGTAAACATGAGGAATACTAGGTTTCATAGAAGGTAAGAGACGGAGGGAGTCAGCAAAAATAACATGAACTGAGATCGTCAAAAATGACTTTAAAAGTTAAATATGGTGCAAGAAATGCCTTGTAATAGAAGAAGAATGGATACACAGATTTCAAGTGGCCGACGCCATTCACATGGGCTTAAGACAAGGATTATTGTCAGATAATGATGATGTTGCACAATATTATATTTTATATATATATATATATATTCATTTTCTGGTGACCTTGGCATTGATCCTACCAGTTAATACTACCACTATAGAGACATATTTAGTGAAGTTATAATGAGATTACCACACAATGCTCTCAAAATATGATGAAAATTCGGCAAGGACAAACATATAATCACTTAATATTTAAGTTCATCAATTTATAGTTTTAGTGCAAATTATATATATAATATTATTGTTCAAACTTCAAAGTTGAGCCTCTAATACAAATTCCAGCCCGTCGCTGCTAACTATTAGGCTTTCAGAATGATACAAGACGTAAATAAAAACAATACATACATGTCCGCATAGATTAAAGCATTTCATAAATATTCAAGTGAAAAATGAGTATTAATTTGCAATATAGAGGATAAGAACGGAAATAAAAAAGAATCCAGGGGTAGAGTTGAGATTTTTCTTATCAAAACTGAGTTAAATTTACAATTTCAAAATGAATACAGTCTGCTTAGGTATAATTGAGGCCAATTCTCCACATAAATGCCCAATCCTAAGCACCAATTGCTAGTTGCCCAATCAGCTAGTCCAAATATAAGGTGAATGCGCTATTTACACCCACTTCAATTTTGAATAAATCAGTTTTTTTTTCCCCATTGGCAAGAAACACACACACACCCAATTGCCCCTACGGGGGTGTGAACCCTCGACCTTCTACTTTAGAAGGTGAGGAATTACAATTAGTTGTCAGAAACATTAAAGAAAGAGAAACACAGAAGCAAGTAGCAACTTTGTAGATACATAACAATTACCAGGAAGTGCATAATTGCTTTAGGAACAGAATCCTCAATGTTCTTTCTAACAATGTCATAATAGGACCTCAAGAGCAGCTTTGTGACTTGAATTTCGATAGTCTCCTGATCCGTATGCGTTTCTGAAGGCCTCAAGATGGATGGCGGCTTAAAAAATATCAAATAAGTATCACACGAGATATAAGCTAATTAAAACTCACAAAAATCGACATATCTAAACAATAGAAGATTAATAGAAATTAATTGAGTCTGGACAGTAGATCTTATGCACATACCTCTCTCAAATGGATCATAGAGAAGGCATGCTCCATGCTCTGAACAGGCTCATCAAAAAACTTGCTTGCTGAGTCCTCTTTGATAGGCATACGATTATTGGACCCACCAAAAATTGATGAAATCTTCCAACTTGAACCAGTTGTGTTTCCTGATTAATCATTATAGTAAAATTAGGTCTTCCATAATTATTCTACTGCTCTTCACTTCTTACAAACAATAGTCAGGAACAATTTGTGCCTCAAAAACAGCTAAAAAAATCATAAAAATCTAGCAAACTCCCTTCCCTCAAATCATGCCAAAGAGAATCAAACTTCAACTAGCATAACTCAAATTATAGTTCACACACACACACACACACACACACACACACACATATTTTCCAATGGAAATTAAATTCAGGTTCATAACAGTACTGAATATGCAATTAGATATCATCTAATTATTAAAATAATACTTTACCAGAAGCCGTCGTTTTCTCGAAATCTGCAACAGTCCGAACTCCCTATTAATCATCATGCAACAAAGCCACAGCAATAAGAATAATTAGATAATCTGAATCATGTTGGATCTTACAAAAGCAACTCCGATAAAATCTCTCAGTGACGATGTTGGTGTGAGTTGTTCAACCCAAAAGAAAAAGAGATTTTCAATAGAAGACAATAAAACAAATCAATCCTACCTGCTCAGGGATCATTCCATTCACTGATCTGGAAATAATAGCACGTGATTTGAAACTTCTTTCAGATGTTGATGCTTTCTCTGAATCTACTGCATCCTAATCAACAAAACACAAACCAACATTCAAAAACTAATAGTACCAGTATAGAGAATAAAAAAGATTGATCACAAAAAATGATTTTTTTTCCCCCCTCAACACAAGATACTTGCGACAACCAACAGGCAACAGCACAATTACATACCTTTTGCCTAGGAACGGATGCAGCTACCCTAGAAGAGTTGATCTGTTGCAATGCAATCTCTACAGCTTTACTCCCACCAATAAAATTCGGATGTGAAGTGTTTATGTAGTCCATCTACAAAACAGAATCACAGAAGTTGCAGTAATTTAAAGATTGTAGAAAAGCGTCAATAACACAGGCATTATTTATAACTGCTAGAAGGCTTTTATTTACAACAAAGAGCACAGAGAAGAATTTGGCTTTAGATCAATGCTCCAAAATTCAAAAAAAAAAAAACCGCGGCAAAACTGTCACTTTGGTGTACACAATAGTTGCATATTCAACGTACAACAACATTCATGGAAGCAATCCAAAAGGAAAAGTCAACACAGCCTATCATAATCAACCATCGTCACAGTATCTACACAAAGGATTGGCAAATTGCCAGGAAATGCCAAAAACAGCATACAAGATATTCTCATAAGGTCTATGCACAGCCAAGGCTAATAACATTATTTATGAAATAATGTCAGATGAGCATTATAATACCCAATGCTCGTCATCCAGGTTTGTTTATAAAGAAAAAAAAATTATGCTCTGGAACTCGTCTGCTTTAAACAGAACAAGACAGAAGTTAAAACGGTTCCCTTTTCCTTTTTTTTTTTTTTTTTTTTTTTTGGGGGGGGGGGGGGGGGGGGGGGTTTGGGGGTTTGAAATTAGAGGAAAGATTCACAATTAGGGTGCCCTACGAATATCCCTAATAACATCTACAAAAGGCGAGGCAATAGTGATGAAGATATAAACAAGCAGCAGTAAGTTTAATCCAAGGGAACAGGAAGACCAGAAAGGACATGATTAGTACTGGTAGTAGGAACTAGGAAAAAAGGTTTTTCTCAATGCCTCGTGCAAGGCCATGGTATTTGAAAAGCTAGCAACAAAGAAACTGTGGAATCAACCACAACTTGTTGGGATAAGGAATTGTTGAATGAATTGTCATAATGCTTATTTAAAGCATGGAAACTATATCCAGAATCATCACTACTTTAGTAAGGTCTACAGAGTAGTTTAGAATAACTTTAACGAAGACTTAAGAATTGGACTAGCAATTAAGTGTGAGAAGCAACCAGGAATTTTTTTTGAACATACAAGTTTCAGCATACCTCCATTTCAATAATGTGTCCAATCATTGTCTCTGAGGGTTGAAGGCCGCCTTGTAGAAAGTTCTTTATAACCTCATCCATGCGTCTTCGTAGAACAGGAAATCGCTGCAGTTCGTTGACCATACATCTATGGCTCATCTGAAGCGGAAACACATCAATATATCAATTATGGTCAAGATGATGATAATGCTTTATAAAGAACAAAGAGAGATTAAGAATTTCCATACCGCAAATAACTCATTGTAAATGAACCTAGCACATTGAAGGCTTGGGTCTAACAAACGAGATATTTGCCTCCGAATAAGAACTTCAAAAGGAACCTATATAAAAGGAGATTAATATAAAATGATATGTGTTAAGACCAAGATTAAACCAAAAAAGTAAACGCATGGGGAAAAAAAACATTGGACTATATCAAATGAAAGAAAATATATATATATAATAGGATGAAAATGGGACATATGCACTGAGACCTACTTCTGGTACAAACAATGCAGATCTAGGACCGGTTGCATTCTGAATGGCAGTACGAATATCATCATCAGTTAAGTCCTCACATGGGTCCACCTCCTGCCAGAGAGATCAATCTTGTCAAATTTTTATAGCAGCTTCAAGTTCAGCACTGAGTTCATTCACAATTGCAGTATTGACCACAATCACATATAGGACAAAAGCGAGAGAGGACACGTAAAAGCAGATTTAAAATTGCAATTCTAGGTAAGACCCCAGATACGATTATATCATTTTCCTTTACCATTTCACCCCATTTTATTAGTCAAAGAAGAGATTAGAAGATAGAGATTTTGAACCTCAGAGTCATTTAAGTTCCATATTGTGAGTGTCAGATTTTAAATTCCTTATCTTCCCCCCATATTTTCTCAGCTACCAATAGAACATTACCATATAAGAGGAATAAGTGAGGCATACATGACAGAAGGGCCGGAGAAGTGCTGCGGAAAGTAACAAATGACTATACAAAAAATGTTTCACAATTAAACATAATGTGGGAAAAATAACACATTAAGAAATTTTTTTTTTCCAGGTAAATAACACATTAAAAATGATTTAATATAATAAGAACCTGTAAACATTAAAAATGATTTACTAAAATAAGAACCTGCAACCTAGAATTGCAAAAGATACGTCAAATGAAATTAATATCAGGAACACACCTCCAAACTCTTTACAAATATTGACTGGAAAATATAATGGATTCGGGCTCCGCCGGACAGCTCAGATGTTGACATTTCTTCATTTTTCCCCTCTATCATTGAAGAGAATGCTATTTTCAACAAGAAATTAACGATACCGTCAATGAGCTCCAGAATTAATATCAATGCGGGCTGAACTATAGAAAGCAACTTAAGCCACGGTTACCTTCAGAGTATTTTGAAAGAAAGTTCAGAAGAAGAGCTCCCTGACCTGCCTATTTGTCAAAAAAAAAAAAAAAAAAAAAAAAAAAGGGGATAAGAAATCACACAAGTACAAAAATTAATAGAAAAACGTCAGCATGGTCGGTTGATAATCAAAGCTTCCAACTATCAACATATTATGCAAATGCATTGAAGTAAAGCTAAACAGAAGTTATAACATTCTGTGAAAGAAACTATTAACCTCAAAAGAAACGAAGAAATATATCATTAGAAACTGAATTACTGTCAAGACTGCCTCGAATCCAGCCAATTACATTAGGCAGTGGATTACCAGTAAAAAAGTTCCCTAAGTCCACTTCTGCCTACATATAAGCAACACACTAAGCCAAAACTACATTTACCTATATGCAAGGGGCAAAACCAGTGACCACTTGACTGGAAATGGTCTGGCAATCAATTTAGCAATGATCTCAAGCATTATGATGAATTTTGACAGTTAGAACAAACCTTTGATTCTGTGATTTCTCCATAGCTAGCATACTCCTTTGCAACAGAAGACAGTGCATTATTTATGCGTGCCCTCACTTCTGGAAGGATATTCTTTATATGTTGTACTAGGATCTGCATAAAACAAGGAGCAAATTTACATGAAATCTATGGCCTTATAGAAAAACGTGATGCATATAAGAGGTCCATTTATCATGAAATTCCAGATTGATCTAATAAAATGTAAAAGAGAACAAAAGATGGACTGTATACATATATATATATATATATAGAGAGAGAGAGAAGGGGGAAGAGAGAGACGCTACCTGCTGGAGGAGACCATTAAAGCAGGGTGCATTATTGAAAACCACATTGAGGGTAGAGCATGCTTAACATGGAACATCTATTTATAAGGAGTAAAGAATGTTGCGTATTTTTACCTGGTTCAACTTCTTTGCTAATTGGGGAACACCACAACGATCAGCGAGATCACTATAAACCTACATAACAGCAAAAGATATAAGTGAGCAGTTGATAATGAACACCAAGCCAAGACATGAACAATAATTTAAGGACATCATTGTCATACTGGACGACTGCGAAAGAACTTCTCTTCAGCCACGAGGGCATCCTTAATAGTGCGGTTAAGCATAATATCCTGTTTAAGAAAGATATTAGACAACCAGAACAGAACCAAAAAACTTACAAATGCATATACAGCCAATCAATAAAATAACTTGTTGATCTAGTGATTCTAAAGAGTTACGGTAAAAAATATGTGCTATAGATTATACGGACTACAATTTTGAACGATCTATGCCAATTCCATATCAGCAACTTTGCCTAACATTTGGATATATCGTTATTTGAAAATCGAAAAAGGAACAGAAAAATATGAACAATATACTTGATGCAGTAAATCAAGGATATCAAACAGGACATACAAATTATTGTTCTCAACATCGTCAGCCGCCACTCTTTTTAGCCATCATACAAAAAAAACTAGTGCCATTTCCAAATGTCATCAGAAAATCTTAGCCAAACCAACAATTTGCTACTTATTTGATAGCTCCATTAATAACATTTCATTTTGTATGTTTGTGTCCTTCGTAAAGTAACAAAAGACTCAACTGAGAGCTTCCCCTTCGTTGCAATATCCTAGTGGAGCAGTTTCAGCGCTTTGGTTTCCTGGATTAGTCTTGGGACCTTCTCCCATGTACTTTAAAGCTTAATGTATATCAAAGTACGAGTAAACCGTACAGAGGTTCAACTCCTAACTGAAGGGGACAATTAAATCTCTCACAAAAAGTATTGATCTATTCCTAAGGGTGGTTGTACATCCTCAATTATGATCTTCCATTGATCGTCCATGCTTTCAAGTCTCAATGAAAACTAAAAACAACAAGTATACTGCCCTAATAGATAGTTCTGCAATTCAACTTAAAAAATCATCTTCTTGTCATTTAAGTATGGTTCTCATGACTACAAAGTTCGCCACACTTCAATACCTATTAGCAGCCACACGGCAGTTTATAAGAACTTCAATTGACTATTCAAGTAGCACACAGATAAACTGGCACCCAAAATAAGTAGAATAAAAGAACACTTTTATCCCAAACAAAATTTGAACTGTCAACCTCCTTATTCGGAGGTGGAAGAGATACAGCAGTCAGTACAACAAAATGTGAATTGGGGAGAAAATGAACAAGATATGTTAGATACTTTGCTACACACAGCTGTCATTGTATATAACCTATCTAATAATACAATGCATATTTCGACAAAATAAAATTCCAAGAAAGACAGCATCCATAAGACTATCATCCAAAATTGCTAGAATCTAAACATTTTTTTTCTCTGAACACTTTGAAACAAGTTTTTTGAAGCGATGATGAGAATTTGAGTCGTAGAACTGCCACTTTGTACAAAATAATAACAAAGGTCATGCTCGTCTCAAATCATTGCCTCCCAGCACTTCGCATAGAGGGGACACGCAGTGGATGATGCCTTATAAAACAATTATAAAGAGTACGAAGGTAAGAGAGATGAATAGGAAGAGAACTAGCATCTTTCTGGATCACTCAACTTCTTTTTATTGGATGACAACTCACTCAGCTTCTTATGAGATTATTCATGTATTTGAATTAAAAATATAAACAGGGAAAATAGCAGTAATAACATTAGATAATAGATTATAGATATACAATGAAAAGGGGGAGGCAAAGGAAGAACGAAAGTTAGGGAAAAGGCATAACATGAACAAAGTATCATTTAATTGAATTGTTTCTTCTTCTTCTTCTTCTCCTTTTTTTTTTTTTGAGAAGTAAAATTGGAGAGTAAATTATAGCAACGGAGTGAACATGTACAAATTGTAAGAGGTTTACAAATAAAATGTATAAACGATAAAAAAAGATGTTTTCTGCCTTGGTTCGTCTAACACCTTAATTGGATTGCATAACTAGCTAGGTTTTTCATGAAGTTAAAATATTACCTCCTGACTACGATTCACAACACCTATGTAACCAAGTCGAAGGGGAATCACTTTTCCTAGCAAAAATTTGCGGGCGTCGGTTCCTCTATCCATGATATCCAACTGAAGCAACAAACTAAATATGATAAGCTAAATTAAAAATTAAACAACGGCTATTAAAAGATAGTTATATGCATGAGAAATTAACGGTCACTTATACTGCACCTTTGTGATTACACCAATTGTCCGGTTACCTGCCAAATCAAAGAATCATGTTTAAGCTATAAAATCAAATAGTGACCCCATCCTAATATGGCCAGTATTCCAGCTTTGTTCTAATAATAAACATATCGACAGTAGGACTTACCATCAGGATCGGCATTTCCAGCTATCTGAAGAGCATCTGAGTTTGCTAGGTCAGAATTTGCTGGTGTAACAGCTAGAATTAAACAGGTATCAACCCTAATATATGACATTATCATTGTTCGGATTCGTGCTTCAATATCAGAAGGCTGGTCACCAACAGGAACCTTTGTTATACCCGGCAAATCAACCAGTGTAATATCAAGAACATTTGGAGAAAAAATTTTCAACCGAATCTGCCTGTCAGAAACACCTTTATTTCCTCCTGTTTCCCTATCTGTCTCAGCCTAAAGTCAATTGTGGATTATTAGAGTAGAAAGATAAGTGTTTAAAAAATCTAAAAGAAACATCAGCGTTTAACAATTACAGATCCGAGCTTGCCACAATCTGAACAAACTAACTTCAGAATAATTTATAAAACCGTAAGAGTAGCTAGGAAAATGAAGAGTCACTTGATATTGCCATAAAGGTACCTTCCTTTTAATTCTATAATATCTAAAATAACTACATGCAAGGTTAAATCCTTTTCTGTTTTTATAATCAAAATAACTAAATGCAAGGTAGCATACACGATAGGTGCAGTAACGACCAGAAATGTACTCTCTCTCCTTGCTATTTCTAGATATTTCCCTTATACTCTAGCTAGATATCAGCAGATTTCACTATGAAACCTGCAATGTTACTCAATTGACTTTATATAATGACAATAATGCACTTTTCAAGACTGAACACTCCACAACTTACTTCTGTTTCATTTCACTCTACAATGATCATAATGAAGAATTAAAGAGCAAAGAGAACAGTAAAGAACTTGAATAACATGACAGGCACAAAGATTAGCTTAGACTGTTAAAAGCTTCCAGTTCATTAATAGATTATCACATGCAACATTGTGAATGAAAAGCAATAAATATCACAGCATATCTGAAATAAAGTGATTTAAAATAAAATAAAAGGAAAAAAAAAAAAAAAAAAAAAAAGAAGGCGGTGTAAGGTACAAGAGGTGTCGTCATGGAATTGCTATATAATCAGGCTAGGGAGGGGTGATCCTCCTTAATCATGATTCACCAACCTCAAACCTGGGTAACATGTGCTTCCTTCTCCCCAAGCTCACACCAACCTGGTTTAATTGCATTCCAGAACCTGTCCAACTAGCAGCAGGGCAGGCTGCTACCAACAAAATCAGGCCTTCCATTGCCAACCTCTGCTCTTACGTAGGATACCCTAAATTTTCCATTGATATGGTTGGAAAATGAACCGTTGAATATGCCTCTCCTTCTGTCATAGAACGTTTTTCTAGATCCAAAGGGGCTTCTATTTCCTCTCTTATTGTTGCTTTCAATGGTCATTTTGTGGAATTCCAATTTTTTCTGTCTTTTCAAATACATATGCCCTCAATGTATAGACAAAATCCATAAATTCTTGTTAGAATTTACATGTCCACCCATTACAGTACCTATGCTACACCGAGGATGGTGTTTGGCGAAGTGTTGATATGGGGAGAAGGGGTTGTGGAAGCCTATGCTACATTATATCAGAATGTCTGAAATACATATCCAGGGACACATCGATATCGATATGGTATAGTCTAACAAATCCAGTTGGGCAAACACTAGTAGGCATATTATTTGATAATAAACTACCATAAATTATACATTCTTTTGTAACATTATTGCTTCAAGATGAATGAATTGTCTCATTCTATAAAAAAACATAGATAAGTATTAAAAATTATATATACTTCTCTAGTTGTGCCTTCATGTCATTGGTTTTGAGATCTGATATACAAGAGGAAGCCTGAGTTTCAGTAATAATGCACTACTGTTCGGTGAAACAAATACATGCAATTGAAATTATTAAACCAACGTTTATAATACAGAAATAGAACAAAGTTTTTAAGATTTTTCAACCTACAGAAATAGAAAAAAGTTCTCAAGATTTCTCAACCTTCATTATAGGATATTTTTAGATCAAATTTTAGAATTTAAGACTTTTTAATCTTGGGGTCATTGAAAACCCTCTGTTGGGTACTTAGAAGACAATTTCAGTAATTGTGAATAAAAAATTCACACCTCGAAAATTATCCAAATGAAAATAGTTCATTATATTTCCAAACTACCACATTCCAGAAATATGTTTGACCCCTTATTCATCATATGATGAATAAACAGCCTCACCTAACAGCATAGACACAATTCTTTTCCTTGAAAACCTAAAACATCAGAACTTACACACATTTTTCAGTACATTTGACCCCTGCCCATTCAAAGAAAAAAAAAATCAAGCTTGATTCTTAAAAAATAAACAAATCTAATCCAACTAAGCTAGACAGTTGTAGTAGCCTTCATAATGTATAATTTACTGTTTTGATAAAATCACTTGCGATAAGTATTATTGCTCTCTCAAATTCAATCAATAAAAAATGAATACCAACGAGGCATCATCTGTGTCTAAACACAGAGTTAAGAAGAGTTGCAGCGCGATACAAAACCATATCATATAAACATACCTGAATTTCCTGACGAATTTCATTGAAATTGAAGAACCTCTTCCCCGGCAAGTGCAAGAACTCACCATACTCCTCTTCAGTGCCATCAGCCTTCCGCTTCGTCTGCAACAGCTGAAGGACCAAAGGCCGCCGCGTACAGATGTCGGAGCCCCTCGGCAAGAAGTCGCGGCCGACGAGCGCCTCGAGGACGCTAGATTTGCCGCTGCTTTGGCTTCCGACAACGCACACCTGAGGAAGCTCGATCACCGATAAGCTCCCGACCTGTGCGAAGATGTCCTGGAGCTTGTTCACGATTGGGATCACAGAGTGACCTAACGGAGTAGCAGATGAAGACGAGGACGAAGAGACTGGCTCGTCGGCCATGGATAGTGAAATCGAGATCGATTCGTGTAGTGAGAGAAAGTAGGGCGAGAGAGGGATTGGGGATTGGAGTTGCAGAGAGATCGGTGAAACCCTTGAGTTGAGTTGTGACGGTGGAAGAAAGAGAAACAGTTTGAAATCTATAGAGAGAGTGAGTGGGGGCGTTTCTCGTACCCCCAAGCAAAGGGAGAAAAATCTTGGACTGTGAAGGGAATTAAACTACGCACTTCATCTGAAAAGACCTTTGTGCCCTTCTGAATATCACTTTTTCGCCAAGTTCTTTTTGTCAGAACTTTTTCGCCAAGAAAATTGAGCAAAACTCTACCAATATGATTGGAATGGTCCGGCAAGTATTGTTATATGCAATTTTTATAAAACAATTCGAAAGAATTTTAAATAATTAAACACAAAAATATAAAATAATTTAAGTAATATCATTGATCAATAAATATTCTGGAAATAAGTAAATATCTGATCATTTATTATTAAAAATCATACAAAAATAATAATTTGGATAAATACACTTTGTAATGTAAGAAACCGTTTAAAGTTTATTATTGTTTTTTTATTTTCTCACTTCGAGCATGTGTATCGGCCTCATAAGTCAAAAGTGCGATTCGAGCGCAAAACCTCAAAAACTTACCTTCTGGATCCGTGTATGCCTAGCCACTGGAGACTTAAAGTCTATTATTAATATGAGTCTGTTTGGTAACGTTTATTTGTTATAAAATTTGTGAAAGTAAAAATATAAAAATATGTTTAGTAAAAATATGTTGTAAGTTTAAAAATGTTCATTGCTCCGGTACCAAATCTTACATTGTTTTACGAAACTTTTAACGCTATACAAAACAAAATAATTTTTACTAAATAATTTTTTACTGTTCACCGCTATAGTACCCAACAAAAATAAAAACAAAATGCCAACCAAACTGGTCGAATTAGATGAAAAGTTCAAATTGTTTTGCATGGGGACTACCTTTGGATGCCTTGTTTGAATTTAGACCACGATATTGAATGGTTGGGTTACGGAGCCCAACTAATTGAAACAACGAAAACTAGTAAAGATCGGGAGGCAGAAACCTCACAATAGTTCAAAAGAAAGAACAAATTGACCAAAAAATATTTAAAATACACACATACATATAAATATATATTAACATTGTTGAGTGGGACGAACAAAAAAGAGTATTGCCATGTATAGTCCAAAAATGTTAAATTCAGTCATCCTCCTACGTTGGAAAGCTGTGGGCTTTTTTAATTCCCTCTTGCTTTGGTTTGGGCCTCTCTCTTGTGGGCCTGCGGTTAGCTGTTTGCTCTCTTTGTTCTCTTTTCATCAATACAAATTTTCATTTATCAAAAAAACAAGTGTTACCTTCCAAAAACAAAAAACTACCCACAGTAATAATCATACTCTTCAGGATATATGTAAATATACTGATTCTGATAGAATTAAACTAAACAATATTAAAGTATTCACAAAATACCCGAGTGTATAATGCTACTCTATAACGCGTTTACCATTTTTTTTTTAAAAAAAAATTGAGTGAGAAGAAAACAGAATAATTGGAAAAATATTTTTTTTTGTTGAATTCTTGCATGATGCATATATAATGCCAAGAACATGAGATTGTTGCCTAAAAACTAAATATTGCATACATAATAAGAGCAGCTAAGTAACAGTAACAAAATCTAACCTTTACCAGTAACTAAATTCCATTTTATGATGGGTTTGGTATGTATTGCCATGTTTGGTTGGCATAGAGTCACTGGCTTGAAATTAGAATAGGAAATAAACTATATCGAATTTAAGTTTCAAAACGCCAATTCCATTATCATCACCTAGTGCAAACAAATGTAGTAGCTAATACACTTTTTTCTTTTTTTTTTTCCTAATTGGTATTCACACACAATTGTCTCTTTTGAGACTTAAACCCCTAACCTCCTTTTAGGAAGGAAGAAGATGATACCGCTAGGCCACTGCCCCGTTGATCAGTAGTTGATACACTTCAATTCTCTAATTGATTGACATGCCAACTCTAGATGAAGAAACAAACAAAGATTCAACCATGTCATGGGTACTATATTATATACAAAACACGATGTTTTCTCCAAAATATAAAAAATATATATATATTAAAAAGTTGTTTCTTTTGCTTTGAACAAGCCATATTAAATTTCAATAAGCTTTTCTCTTTGAAATTCAAATATTGTTCTTTAGTCTTAGACTAGAAGACACAACAACAATCCTAGACCAACAAAGTGGATGTACCGACATTAGATTCATATCAACAGAGTTTGGAACACACCTGCGAAATCAGTCAGGTTGAAGGTGATATTTGTTTCACCGGCTCAATGAGCATACTGATTATTGCATTCATGTCCACTGGATTGGAAACACACATATCACCACTCAGACAATCTTGCAAAACCTTGTCACACGCTATTAAAACCCAATCGCCAAGATCATCTTTATATCTGATCTTGTAAGTTCCTCCCATTAGCTTCAGTTCCACGTGTTGCTCTTATGATCCATGTGGTGCTGCAACCGGATTCACGTGTGGTGGTGGTGTTGCAACTGGATACACAAGTAGTTGTGGTTCTGCAACTGAATTCACGAGCGGTAGTGGTGCTGCAACTGGATTCACGAGTGCTTCTGGTACTGCAACTGGGATCATGTCAGCTACAGTAGCCACTAGTGTCTTACCAAGCAAATCTGAACTAGAACCATGCTTGCTTCTCTTGACCCGTTGCCACCATTCGAAACCAGAGTCTCTGCATTTATGCTTAAAAGTTGATCTGCTGACTACAAAAATTAGAATTCAATAGCAAAAACTCAGTTTGTAAGTGCAAAAGAATAATCTACTAGTTCTAGAAGAAGAAACTGAAAAGTTGAAACTAATAACAGCAAGATAACAAGCAACAATTTCAATTAGTGTGTAAGCTTACCACCCATTATTGTTGCAGCCTTCTTCAATCTTCTTTCCAAAAAACTACTGAAGTACTGAGAACTGACATTATAAAATTTAGACTATCTCTTTCTTCAGGAATGGTCGAGTTGGAAGAACAAGTGTTCATGAGGTTGAAGCTAATTGGAGGAACTTACAAGATCAAATATAAAGATGATCTTAGTAATTGGATTTTAATAGCATGCGACAAGGACTTGCAAGATTGTCTGAGTGGTGATATGTGTGTTTTCAATCCAGTAGACATGAATGCAATAATTATGGCCATTGAGGCGGTGACACAAATATCACCTTCATCAACCTGACTAATTTCGCAGGTGTGCTCCAAACTCTGTTGATATCAATCCACTGTCTGTACATCCACTTTGTTGGTTTAGGATTGTTGTTGTGTAATATTAGAATTTCAAAGAGAAGAGCTTATTGAAATTTAATATGGCTTGTCCAAAGCAAGAGAAGCAACTTTCTAGTTCTGCAACTGAATATGATGCATTCATATCAGGATTTTCAGCGTAGGTGCTTTGCAAGTAAGCTGCAAAGCAACCCTTCAACCCAAAGAACCTAGCACCTGGAAGCAAGGGGCACTCAGTTATTCTGAACTGAGTAACGTCACTGCAGAAAGTTTCAACTGAAGGTTTTTATGATTTGGACTCCCTGTTGTTAAACAATGATGTTCATTTTGAGGAGCCTAATTTTTCTGAAGGGTTTTTATGATAAAGAAGATCAAACACAAGATCGATCCCGTTGTTTAACCACAAAGAGTCCAAAGATAACCCTTCTAAAAAAATCAGGATCAAGCTCGTCATAAATCTGGGAGGGGCTGCCATCTCCAACAATGAGCTACCTGCCTGATTAAGAAAAGTAATGTGGAAAACATTAATATCTATAAGGCTGAGTTTGGTTGCAAACGAACATAGCAATAAGGTAAAGTGCAAAAACACCCTTTGTCCAACCTGAGCAAACACAAACCCATTTTCTAAAGAGAGAAAAGTATACAAGAAACCTAGTATTAAACAGAGCAAATACAAAACCAAAGAGAGTAGCCTCCATTCAAGAACTAGAACACATAATTTATATACATACATACATATATATATATATATATATATATATATATAGATATTGCAAATGAGGGGGTTATCAATTGCGGTTATTACAAGAAGAAAAAAATCTATAATAATAAACCACATATGACTCCACTGATTATTTGATGCTAACAGGACACTTACCTCCACATGTTTGTTTGCATTCAACAATTATCTTTAACAATGACTAAAGGGTTGTTACTTGCCATGAACATGTCTTGCACAATGAAAATATATTTCAACCGACGGAGGTTACTCTTTCTGGGCTTGTATTTTCACCAAGTTGTAGAGTTGTGATAAACATACCTTTAAATATATATATATATATACACACAAACACATATAAATGGCAAGAGAGGGGGTTATTGCGTAATTAAAAAAAAAAAAAAAAACTATAATAATAATTAGAATCAAAGGGAAGTGAAACCCTAGTTTTGGCAGAATCGATTTGAACCCTCAAATCATATCAACAGCAACCAAAAGGGAAGTGAAACGTTATTTTGTAGATCCGATTTGAAACTTAAATCGTAAATCAAACAAAAATCAACTATGGTAAAAAGAGAAAGCAGATCTGTCAAATACAAACAGTTTCAAAAACAGGAAGAAGAACCTCAGATCTGTAAGTAACAAATAACTTCATATAGATTAAGGAAGAGGAAGAAAAAAGAGACCGTACTGGCCAAAGGCTGACCATTTCAGGCGACGGTGAGGCGGTGGTTCTCTGCAAGTCTCGAGTCTCATACGGCTGAATGAGAAATGCGGACCTGATCCTGTAGCACTTCGTTAGATCGGAACATGTTTAGTAGGCCATTTGCACCGGGTTGTTCGGATTTTTGCTCCCTAAATATGTCACATCCACGTCAGCAATTCCAAGAACTGTGCGTAAACACTATATCAAGATTACTGAATTTTCGCTCCTCAAAAAAAAAAAAATTTAAAATTAAAAATATATATATATTTTTTTTTAACTTTTCCTAAATGGCACTAATTGGAATAAAAAAAATAAGAATTACAAATTCTTATGCGAATAAGTTGATGAATTTGTAATTTTAATTATTTTATAAAAAAAAACTTTAAAAAATTTTTTATTTTTTTAAAAAAAAATTATAGCTGTTAAGACACTATTTGTATTCACCAAACAATGCCTTAAC